CAAATGTAATCTAGCAATTGCCAAAAGGCTCGGTCTTTGACCTATGACTTTGACGTGGTCTGTTTCTGCTTCTGCCACCACTGTGGGCCTGGAAACAAAAGACAAGCGGACGATTAGAAGTATCCGCAAATCAGAGTTAAAACTGAAATGGAGCAGCTGCCAGGTGTGCACACAGACAGGCCAACTCACAGCAAGAGACAACAACAACCTTTTTCACTCTTTCAGGAAGAATTCTGCAGTGGAATAGCAGGGATCCTTTGTGAGGAAGACTAAGAAACTGAAAATATCATACAAAATGGGTTTGAAAGAGATCTCAAACGGCCATCTAACCCCAAGCACGATCAACTAATCAGTTTCAGATACATAACATACATAACCTGAAAAATAACTTGTTGCAAAGACTCCTGTAATTGAGATACTACAGCCTCCTTGGGCAATGTTTTCTACAGCAGCTCTACCTTTACCATTAAAGACTCTCTCCTAGTATTTGCCTTCCTACAATATAGGCTCATCACTTCTTGCCATATACACTGTGAACTGGAAAAGCGCAATGCCCAAAACTGGACACAGAACTCCATCCGAACGCAGAGGACGGACAGAGGTGGATGAGGTAACATTCTATTTCTTACCGGCTGTATGCCGGTTTGCACACCACAGGAAGATACCTGCCTTCTGCTCAGCTTTGCAAAGCACGCTGCTTAACTTCAGTCTCAAAACCACAATGAATCACAGATCTGTTCTCAAAACACTCCCAAAAGAAATCAGCCTTCACAATAACTGCCTCTATTTGGTATTTGAATCTGTTTGAAAATGGCAACAGAGCAAAAAGTAGCACAATACTTCCTGTAAAACCCATCCCCCTCTAAACAAAATCCGCTGGTCCTTTCCTCTAATAGCTTTGAAACTGTCTGTGAATTGACAGAGTTACACTGTAACACTGTAAGGCTTTTCAGGAAGGCAGTTAACACGATCATCTCTACTACTACAGTCAGTCTGTCAAATACTTTTACATTCTCATCCACCCCTGTGTTACCTAATTGGCAATATTTCAAATATGGCAATATGGCAAATTCCTATGTTTGATTAGTGGACATGAATCAGCAAATAATAAATGAGTCATTTTGTTTGTAAAGGGGCCATAAAATAGACCAGTCCCCTTTTCCTGCGATGTTCAGTGCAGAGGACAAAAGACAGCAAAAAAAGGTAGATTGTTTCTTCAGTGATGAACGTGCCCAACCTTTGCTTTCCTTTTCGTCCTCCATGAAAACATGTTCCTGGATAAACAAAAGCAGTTTTTGCTGAAGTGATGTGCTGGGAAGATAATCTAGAAGTCCTGCTGCTTCATTATTATTTGAATCTTGGTGACTCAAAATTAGCAGCCAGTCACAGAGTATCATGAAGGCCTGTATCAAGCAAACAAAGCCAAAGAAGGATTTAGAAACCATGTTGCTTTCCATACCAGCTCCACTTTTCATCTCCATCGCAAACCACCAGTCATGGTCTGGTTTCTACTCTACTTCTTCCTTTCAGGCTAAAGATTTCTATTCGCCCTGACCTCAACAGTCAAATGCCACTGCCAAGTCCTTCCAGAACGTATACCTTAGGATACACTATACACAAGTACCATGCATGAATACCCCTTAAAGATTTTCTGATTTCCATGGGAAGGAAGCTGAGCTCTATTATACCACAAGATCTGCCTTTTAATATGTGTGAATCACAGAACAATTTCTCCCAATTTTTCACTTTTGAAATGATATTCATAGCAAGGCCATAATACCTTTGTCAGGCATTAATAAAGGTATGATAGCGACAAATACACTGATGTCTGTCTAATTAGAAAACACAGGGATTATCAACTGGTAAATTCAGTCATTCGGATTCAGGCTTTGATTCTCCAACTGGATCCATGCAGACATACACCTATGCTTGATTAAAGCACTAATTTTTGTAACATTTTAATGTACATAAGTTTAATTTTCCTTTAAAATAAATAGTTGAGGGATGTTTTTTTAGGAGGTACTTCTCTGCTAAAAGATAAAAATATTGCAAAAAAATCAGTAGAAGGAAATACTAGCATGAAAAAAAAAAGGCATTTAAAAGGAAGAGTGAGTATGAGTGCCAATCAAGTGAAACACAAACACTGACCTTTTCTCTTACATCTTCTTCCTTATGGTGGAGGAAGCACTTGCAAATCTGACAGAAACGCCTCAACTCTCTTCTTAATGCCAAAAGAGTCTCCTAGAAACATATTTAGGAGAAGTGACAGGCCTAAGATGTTAGGGGCTACTATTCAATGGAGAATTATAGAATAAACTTAACAGTTACATCTTTTTTCTGCTGATACTATTCATTTCAGATAGCACAGCTGATAGCATTATGAAAAAGGCTGACATCTCACAATAGCAGCAGCTTACCAGCTATGAATAACTTAAAAAAACATGTCTTGCTTTTAGGAACCATATCCGGGTAGAAAGGCCATCCCATAAAAACATAATAGTTTTTCCTCCCACTCTGGTGCAGAAAGGTGACAAATCTGTCACATGTGCTCACGCTCGTAGTGTTCAGCAAGTCACAAACTCCTTGCTTCTCCATCTATAGGATGGGCAGCTCTAATGATATTTATTCACTTACATGGCCCTCTAAACATCTAAAAATTTGCAGAATTCAGCTTGTCCTTTTAAAGCAATGATATTAATTTCCAACTTAGAGATGGGAGTAGAATATAAAAACCCTGGTCCATCCCCTCTAACTTTCAGCACCCAACACGTGAATTGCCCTCTGGACTTGCTCTTTTCTCTCTCTCTACCGACAGAGGTATCAACAGAGGTAAGCCAGGTTCACTACACTGCTAACTTTGGTGCTCCTAAATGCAGATGTGTCTATTAGGATGAACCAAGCAACAGAGACTACTTGATTTGCCAACAGCCACATAAAAGACCTTCTGATCCTTTGCTAGGTCCAGCTGTTTTAATGCATTGAGCTCTCAGCAGACAACAGAAGTGGAATGCCATTATAGGCAGGCTGGATTTCCTGCTCTGCAACTGTATCTTTATAAGAAAGAGAATCCACTCCAGGGCATGCTGGGAAGAAGGGGAGGGGGAGGCAAAACATTGCCTTAACGGTATTAGGGGAAAGGGAGGAAAAAACAGTCCCAGAGCTGCTGTCCAGGAAATGGGTTTTTTTTTTTGCTCTTGGAACTTCTCTCTCTCTGCCAGTATCCAGATTTGGTCCTTTAGAGTGGGCCGCAACATCTCGCTTCCAATCAAAATCCGTTCCTGTATGAAAGGCCAAATGCAAAAATGTGCTGCCCCGTTATCAGTCAAGCTAACTGTGTCTGGATTGAAAGGCAGAGCATATTAGAGCAGAGAGAGATGCGGACACCCACTCAGGAATGGAATGGGACGGGAATAGATAGTGAATCAGTCACCAAAAGGGTAACCTCCCGGCTAGCATTTCTCACACAAAACAAATGTCCATGTCAGTGTCCTGCTCTATACACACAGGAGAACCAGAGGAAGGTGACAGAATGCCCGAAGCAGCAGCACTCGGCGTAGTCAGAAATCACCATGAAGAGAAACTGCACAGGTACAAATTTTCTTGTGAATCAAAGCATAGAAGAGTTTTACTCTCTAGTATTTAAAACTAGAATGTCTTCTGAAATATCTGGTAGAGCCTGGGAACCACCTAAAAACAAATTAACCACGTAGTCAGCTGATGAGTATATTCCAAACACTTCCAGCAACTTTCTGTATACATCACACAATATATAAATAAAACAAGAAAATAAGAACAAAATAAAGCAATAGGACTTCCTGCAGTTTTCACTGAATACTCTTTGTTACTTAAAACAAGAAAATAACAAACTGTTTGGCAGTAGGACAAGCTCCTTATCTCCATCAAGCACCAGGAATTTTTAGCACATGTTTTGCAGTAAAAATAGAGGTGAACTATTGTTCAGTATACTCTTGCAGACTGAAGAAGCATAAACAAACAAAAAAAGAGAGAGAATGAGAGAGAGACAGACAGAGAGAGAGAGACAGAGAGAGACAAAATGCCTCAACTAAATTTATTTTCCTCAATAAAACACACAAATTATCATCTTGAGAAAGCTTATCTTTTCTGGCCAGCTGAGAAAAGAAAAGCAATTTAAACTTCTAGAAGCACAACCCTGGGTTTCAATACGATAGAGAGCGGCCAACCTTGGGGGAATTTTCCGCAACTGCAGCTAGTTGCCACAGGAGAGAAAAGTATGTGCACTGGAGAGCTGGCAGGATCATCTGAAAATAAAAACACAAGTCCTTTATTTACATGAAAGGCTTTACAGCAAAAAGCTCAGGACTAAATAAAGCATTCAAGCCTGACATTCTGCACACAGCTTGCACTACCATTTCTGCACTGTAAGGCATTTAGACCCCCAAAATAAACTTAGTAGATTCACATACAACTAAATGTTGCCTCCTGAGAAAGTTAACAGGACTAAGGTCCTGTTTCTGCAGAACCCTGACATCCTGATGAATTCAATTGAACGTAATCGTTTACTAATAGAGGTGTTCACAGAAGCTAACTTTAGGTTAGCTTCTTAGCATCTCTCTGCAGCGTTTGGATAAAGCAGACTACTACAGAGGGAAATTCAGAGCAGAAGCCAAACCTCGGTGCTCCGATGCTCCATCTAAAGGAGTATACCTCTGCCCACTGGCTACAGACTCTCAGCTCTCTTCCAGCTAAATTTCACCCCTTTCTGAATAACCCCCTATTCTCTACTGAAAACAGTGCCCGATTAACATTAATGACTGCTGAAGTACATCAACTTGTAATACCAGGGAAATACTCCATCTTGGCACAAACAATATTTGAGCTGAGCTAACCAGACAATCAAAAGACTGCAATTTAGGCAACAAGTAATTACAAACCATCTTCACCCCCAAGTCAATCAGCAAGCAACAAGTCCAAAGTATACTGATCTCTCGTTACCTGTAAACCATAAGGGGTTTCTCACTGTCCAACAGCTTCTTATCTAGGCGCAGCAAGATCGTACAATCAAGGCGAAATACTGAGCACGAGAAAGGACTAATCTAGATTTCAGATGATTCCTCTCATGCAGATCTCCAAATAAATGAATCCATGGCACATGAAACCTACTCATTCCAATAACATTATACCAAAAGTTGCCTCAGTTTCCCAGAGTGAGAAACGGAAACAGTATCTTCCTGCCTCACAGGACACTGGTATATACAGATTTTAATATGTGATTTAATATACAGTGATTTTAATATGTGATTTTAATAATGTGAGTACAATCAAGGCGAAATACTGAGCACGAGAAAGGACTAATCTAGATTTCAGATGATTCCTCTCATGCAGATCTCCAAATAAATGAATCCATGGCACATGAAACCTACTCATTCCAATAACATTATACCAAAAGTTGCCTCAGTTTCCCAGAGTGAGAAACGGAAACAGTATCTTCCTGCCTCACAGGACACTGGTATATACAGATTGTTTAATATGTGCTACTGTTCCTGCTTTCAACACAAAAAACCTCTGTCAGTGTTAAGTATCAACAACTCACCTGAACAGACAAGCCCCCACGTTCCATTTCAAACGCTAGCAACCTTAAAGTCTTGTCATACAGATTCCACTTGGTGAGGTCATGGGCACTGCAAGTAAAAAAGAAACAACACCACACTAAGCAAGAAATGGAATCTCACCTCACCAAATAGGTTATATTTATACCATTTTTGCCTGCGTCTAATGTACAGCAATAACTTTAAACAAAATCTAAGTCAAATCACGCCACAAAATACAAACCTAGTTTTTTGGGTACTGAACCCCTGACGGTGATCCTGCTGTTCAAAAAGTAACCACCTACTATGCAGAGACCTCACATGAGCAAATAAAACACACTGACCTTCCAACAGTTTGCTAAAGCTGGTCATCACCTTACCTCCTTAGCAATGAAACTTACTGAGAGGCACCTGGTGAAATCTTCCACTATAAAGAAATAATAATTAAAGGGAAAAAAAATTTTAAATGGAAATTAAGTTTTTGCATGGCCTCATGTTGGTTGTAAGCTTTAGTCCATAGCTTCACAGTCTACACTCTTGCTACAAAACAGCAGTGTCCATGGATAGAGTAAAAAGAAAACCAACCTCTATACCTTTTTCTACACGTAACATCCACACTCTCCAAGTGCCCAAAAAAGGTCTAAAGAATGCTATTTTTTCCCTTTAAAAGAGTGTTTTTAATACTGCTGAGTGCTTGCAAGCTGCACGATGTTAGACTTCTCTTTGGAAAAATAAAGCAACCTTAGCATGCAGGAGAGACAAGAGCACAAGGCCCAACTCTCCCACCCTCTACTGTCTTGCATATTAATTTACTTGGTGAACAATCCCAGAAGAAGCAAGCTACTGAGAAACTTATGAGGGAAAAAAAGATTGCAGTCAGTATCCTCTCTTCAAACTGACTGCCAGTATTGAGAGTAAGGCAGTGCAACAGCATCCAGCTAAGAAAGAGGCACTGTAACAAGCCAGTTGAGAGCATCTCTGTGTCCACTCTGACACGCCAGCCCTATAACATACACTTCTTAGCCCCATTAGGGCTGATGCTCCAACCTCAGTAACAAGTCCAAAAAGAATTCCACATCCAAGAGTACAGTTCTGTTCAGGAAATCCGAAACCCTGCAACATATCTCATAGGGACCATTTTCATTCTCTAGTGAAAATCCCGCTAAACCGACCAAGTAAGGGCAATTCACGCTCTGCAGCTGTTTATTTAAGTTGACGCTTAAGTACAGAAAGTAAATTACGGAAAGTTAATTATGGAATGTAAATCAGCACTGTGTAAATAAATATCTCACTTATGAAAAGCTGCTATTCTTCTCAAAGCAGAATGTATCCGGGAAATTTCTCCTGCATCCGTACAAAAACCTTCTTCCTAAATTGTGCAAGTTTGGGAAAGAGAAAAGAATTAGCCAGTGTGGGGTTAAGGTAACTGCTATGTCTTCTTCCCAACCCACAGACTTGAACTACTCTCCTTCAGCCTTCCCCAGTGCTTTCATCTTCAACCTTACGACTCATACCTTCCTCTATGGCAAAAAAAAAAAAAACAAACAAACAACCGTTGACTGCACAGAAATTGTGTATAAGGAAGTGTCCCCACATTGCCAAATCCACAGCAATCTTTCAACGCTGTGGTATTGCTAACACAGTTTAAAAACTAGGGATTAGGCTAATGTAGAAGTCCTAAAACTCAGACCCGCAGGCCATTCATGGTCCCTCGCACAGTTGTTACGGATCTATGGAAGGCTAACTGTTCACATGGTGCTGGCTTTCCTTGCTTCCAGCTGCCAGATCACATTCAAAGATAGCTAAAAATACATTAAATACTTTCCCATAGATGCAATTGCTGTAGTTTCCACAAGGATACTACGTGATTATGGGAGATGGTCTGTACAACCAGGAATTAGAAGGGAGGGGTTCCAGGAGAAAACCTCTTTATTTAGATATGGATCACACTACCAAGATGTTGAATAATCCCTGGTCTAGCACTTATCTTATTTCTCATAAATACACATTCTCCCACATTGACATAGATGTCTATTTAAGACCAACAAAATAAACCCAATCTGAGGTTAGGGGATTTTTTGGCGTGACACGTTTTACAATATCCCAGCATCCAATAAAAACCTGCCAGTGTGAACTCTCATACCATGGCATGACACCTGTTCATGGCACAGTTGATCAGATCAGCTGCAGGCTTCTGTTGTTCAGTTCAGCTAGCAAGCTATTCATATCACCACCAGCTGTTTCTGCTTTTTAGAACTACTGAAAAACTTTGAGGGAGACCTTCCCTCAGTTCTCCTTCAAGGGGAAAGTCATCACTTCAAAGACCTCATAGCTATCTAATTTGTATTACAGACTGTCAGGTTTTTCCCTAGCAATATCTCTACAGCCAAAACAAGATTACAAAGGTCATCTTGCGTACTATCAAATACATAAAAGTACAGAACTATACCTTTTGGGGAACAGTCTCATCATCTATACATCCACAGCACTTCTTAGCTGATGTTACACATAGCATCCCCAGCACAATAATACTTCAATTTGTAGTACTGTAGTACACAATTGCAGTATTACTATATAGCAATACTATGTAGCCCAGGTCCAGAATATCAGGAAAATATAAAGTTGCCCTGTGGCTGCTGTGGACTACGCCGTTTACAATTTTCCGCCCTATTCCTGACAAAAACATCAACTCCATTAAAACATCAATCCATTTCATTAAACAGTCAATCTTTTTAGAGTGAGATCCACCTTTGAAAGCTCTGCTCCCATCGAGCAGAAAAACAGATACAAAGGGTAATTCCATATCCCCTTTAACCTTCTTTCTTCTTCTTTGATGGGGAAATAGCTTGTTTTTCTTCACAATGAGTCACACTCACCTTTTGCCAGAAGCTGTTTAGCAGCTGGTTAAGCTGCCCCATCAACTCATCTATCAGCTGAGTTCGGGCACAATCCACCTGGTTGTAGATGGCAATTTCTTCACTGCAGAGTATGTAATAAGTCCTGGAGGAAGCCTCAAGGACAGCCATATCAGAGTGTTTGGCCACAATATCTTTTACTTCTCTCAGCAAAGCATCCAAATGCTGCAAGTAATACAAGGGGTACGACAGTTAAACCAGAGTTAAGTCCACTTATGTTTCAGATACATTTCACCTGGCCAATATATCGTTACAGGTCATACAATCAAAATGAAATAAACGCCAGTCTGAGCAGGTGAAGTGCAGGACTATGGGATACAGCTTTCTTCTGTGTTTAAAACCCTTTTTAATTATTTTTTCTCTAGGTGTCCCTAAAAATAAAATAACTGTTTTAAGTTCTGCTTTAGCAACACACCTTTGGCACTACATAAAAATAATGACAATGGTAGGGAAGGAGTGTCTCTTCCTCCCAACAATGGAAGTTGTCTTCCTCAGCAGCTGAGGACGAAGCACGTTTCAGATCACCCCAGAAACTGGCTTCTTTATTCTTAATGAGAGGAAAGAACTTCATTTCTGCCATTTGTCTCTTCCTGTCAACTTTCTGTGCTGAAAGTAAAACCTAGGAGTGTTTGCTCAACATCATCTCCCTGTAAACACCCTTGATTAAGAATACATTAAGCTATTCCAAGGATTTCATCTATCCATTTCTGACCACCCTTCTCCCATCAGCAGATATATTATCCCCATTCTTATCTTTCAGTTACTATCATCCTCCAGCAGCTGGGAGACAGCCTTCAAGGAGAATGAAACCCATTTTGTAGTTACTCCTGGAAATGCCAGCTCAGATACATGGCATAACCCACCCTCTCTCCACCCAACAATGAAGAACCCAGTCTATTCCCAAGGGCAGGCCTATCATACGAAACCATAAATCATTACCCACCAGGGCATCAGGCCAGTCACAGCATATCAGGACTGACAAGCACTAAAGCTTTTCTTGGCAGTCCCAAATCAAAAGGTAAAAAGCCTGAATTAGATGTATGAGGTATGAGAATATTTCTTTGAGGTATGACAATATTTCTTTGTATCTCAACAGTCCCCTATTTGTTCCAAGTCACACTAAACCCTGTACATTGTCACATAAATTGGGTACATTCCACACGCACCCAACTACCCCAATTCCTATTCACCTTCTCTAGATGTCCTGTACTGTAAACATCTAAATCATAATACTGAGGAATCTGCAGGAGATTTGTCACTTTTTCTGCATCTGCTGAATACTGCAGAGAAAAAAAAAAACAGGATATGAGCGCATTGTAGGAATTTTAATGAAATATTTAACATGCTTTCACAGAGCAGCTGTTAGTTACCTTTGCCAAGAGCTGAGGAAGCACCATAATAAAGTGTTCAGTAATTTTGGTACAATCTTCCAATTGTATTTTCTTCTCTTTTACTGACAGAATCTGCAGACAAAGCATTTCGTTTCAATTACAATATCTTTTAGATCTGAGTGGGATTTTACGTTTAGCCAAAGGTTAACTCACATGCCTCTATCTCAAATAAATCAAGCCAAGGCAAACATACTTTTCCACAGAGTCAACCAGATGGTTTTGGTTTTTTGTTAACATTAAATTAGATGTAAATCACTGAACACAGATAAAATGCTCACCGCTTTATCAATAGCAAGCTTCCACTAGCTTTTGCCTAACGCTCACACCCTTCAACATCCACTGCTAATAAGATCTGGAGGTCAAAAGACACTGTAGCATTTCATGAAAAGTACGCTATTTTATTTCTAAAGAGGTACCAACCAGTAGGAACGTGCTGTTTGGCAAAGCACATAAGATAAAGAGAAAGTGATTACAGCACAATAAATCACAGTAAGATGCACTAACTTTTTTGGCTGCACCTCTGCCCACTGGAGGATGACCTTCAGCTGCTTCTCTAACAGTTGCGAGGATAATTTCAATGAGAGCACTTTCATGGGCATCACTCAATGCTGCAAATAAATCAGTTTCTTTTCAGCATCACACAAAAGAAAAATGAAGATACAGCAATAGATAATGAAAAACCTATCGTTTATCTGAGCAACTGTGGAAGGACACCACATAAAGAAAGATGCAGTGCTGCTAAAGAAACGCCTAGAGAGTGTTAGATTTAATTTGAAGAAAAAAATTCTTTATTTACTGAACAGAAAAGCAATTATTCCTCTCATGGCCAACCTTTTTAGGCACTTAGGCTCCCAGCGACACAGAGAGCTTCAACCAGGCCTATCCCTACTGACTACTGTCTCACCTAGGACACACACGCTTCTTTGAATACCAAATGCTTTAACTCTCTGAGTCCATAAGCTTTGGTTTCGACCATGCAACCACCTCCAGATCTACTGCAACAACTACTGCTTAAGTTCACTTTAAAATATTTTTACATAAAACCAAATCTCTGGAGCGTTAGTTGACAACAGATTCAACACAGTTTTTTTTTCTTTTCAGGCATGAACAAAATCCTGACAATACTACACTTCAATCAATCAATACTTTTAGATTCTTAAGTTTTGGACAAACAAATAAGTGAAGTCAGAGTTACTTAAGCATTATGGCTTAATTATGCAAGTATTCTTGCAAAGCCTCTATACTAAGATTATATAAATACTGAAAAATAAAAACAAGTACGTTGATACAAATATCACAGTGGCAATATCTGAGTCACATCTACTTTGTGACCCTTGAGGACCACAATCTGACATCAAAGGGCACTGCAAGGTGGAGTGGTCTTAGATTACCTGAATGCAAAGTTCAAAAAAAGAGAGTCATACAGACAAAGCTAAGGTACTGACCCACCTTCACCATCTTCTTCAGCATTTTTTAATAGAAGAGTGGTCATGCACTCCCAGTCCTTCAGGAATTTGCCTGCCCAGTCCCACAAGCTGTCTATGAGGTATGTGACATGTTTGTGTAGCTAGGGAATAAACACAAAAGCTTAGAGAAGCAAACCCTTCATTAGAAAGAAATACAGTTTCACATGTTCTTCTCCCCTTTTTCCAATTACAAAGCTTTGCCATCCATCCATACATTCGCATGCAGTCCTCCAACAAACTAAGTTTGAGGCTAATCAGTGTTAAATCCCATTTCCTCATTCTGATACAAAAGGAGCCATAAAAGCAGGAGAAAAGCTTTTCTTTCCTCTTTTTAGGATATTTTTCCCCGGTAATTTCAGTATTCTCTTTAAAACTGGCTTCTGTATTGCTTCTATATTGCTGACCATAACAACTAAAAATCCAACCTTGGGGCTAGAAATGAGCTAACATTTTAGATGATGTCAATAAAGTTCTTTGCAAGTAGATTCAAAACCGCTGTGCCTGGGACAATTTGGCCGGACACAGGTCTAGACCACAACAAAAGCCAAGGAGCTAAAATGTAGCTGATAAATTCTCAGGAAGGCCTGTTAGCACAGGCAAAACTACCTGGTTCTTAGCCAGTCAGCATAGAACAAGGGCACAACAAGTTCTTATCTGCCTGCAGAAAGACACAGGCACACATTAATACCTCTCACTCATTGGCATTAGTCTTTTGGGTTATTTTCAGATGCTGCTTCAGCATTGGTTCTCTCCAGCAATATAGCTGTACATTAGTTCTGACATAACAGAAGCGGCAAATTCCATCTCCATTAAGAGTCATCCTAGAGAATCAGAATGTCCCAAAGACCAAACAGTTCTAAGTGCATAACCAGAAATAGCCTTCAAAAGGAAGCCAATACTTTATTGAACGTGCAACACTGGATGTAAAACTTACTGCAGGGGATATTCTCCTCACCTCACTCTCCAGGAAAAAACGTATTAACTTTTTCAACTGGCCAGTACTCGCCCCAAACTTCCCTCCTCTTTTGGGCAGAACTTCTTCATCTCCCTCATGCCTAAGCAGCCTGCCAACAGAAAAGAAGTCAATCCAATTCTGCCACATGCTCCCTAAGTTCATTCACCAGTACAGCAGTAATTCTGTCAAGACTTCAAGGACCATATGTCTTCTAAATACCTACTTATTCATTCCAAATCATAGTAGACCTTTTATCAAATGAAAGGAAGAGACTAGATTGTTTTCCACTATCCGAGATCTGTTATCCTTATGAAAGCAGAGATTCTCTCTGATAGCTTCACAGGTACCCTGCCAACCTTCTGGACAACAGATGCACATTGCACAGTGTTGAACATATAAGGAGGTAGGCATTTGCTCATGCTTGAGAAGATACTTGCTCTAGACTGAATTTAAACCTTAATAACCTGACTATTTTTCACATTATGGTACATCCTGGCACTAAAGCTCCTTAAAGAAAGCAGAGTATCTTGTATTAACAAGAGGCAATTTACTCAACTCCAGATACACTGGAAAAATTATTCTTCTTCTGCCCAAAGTATGAAGCATATTATACTTCACTCCAATTTCCACTTCCACTTTATCCAAAAGGAGTGTGACTGTACTGCTCATGAAAAATGCTAATCCCAAAATACATACAAAAAGGCCATCCCCATAGATTAACGTAAGGCCTGAAGTGCTTGGATTTAAGAGCAGGGCCACACTACTTCATGTTGCCATAAGCTTATACTTCAAAAAAGTGCTTCCGCTAGTGTGATTTAGCCCAGCTCAGTAAGTAATCTAAATTAAAAATGCAGACACTGAGGAGATTTCACAAACACACACACAAAAAAAAAAACATTTATACTAAAACTTCTATCAGTATGATGACTGAGAGGGAGGGGATCACTAACATCTCCATCACACTAGAACCAACACTTCTACACTGGTAGAAGTACGAAAGAGAAGAACTGGACAAAAAAGAACAAGGATGAAGTTTACAGGGTCAAAGTATCCATGCTGCACGGGGAGGCTGGGTATAAAAAGTAAAGTTATTTATCAAGGCAGTAGTTTCAGTGGCAAAACGCAGCAGTGTTCTCAGAGGAAGAACATCTGGTTTATGACAGAATACTGGGAGCCACATAAAAGATGAAGTAGATGCCATAGAAGACTCATCAAAACAAGAATTTATCTTCATTTGTCTTTTTGTCAGACTTGGCTCCACAAACACCAGAATGTCAGCAATTCAGCTGGATAGGAACGGACAGCTAGGAGGAGATTCTACGTGTGTGAAAAAGACAAATCATTACGATTTCTGAATTTTTCCCCACAAAAGCCCTGCCAAAATATTTTTACTTTCATTGCCCTTTGTAACACAAAATTATTTCTCTCAGTTGAAGAGACAGAATACCTCTTCTCTTTTTAGCATGCCAACTCCATTCACTTCATGCAATCATTGTTATAAGAAGCCCATTTATAAGAGTTACTCCTGGGGAAGATAAACCCTATACTTCATTAACCTGACAGAAAATTGGGAGGCTTTTTAATCTGCTGCCTCTCTCATTATTCAAAGCCTTTACAATGCATAAAATAACTTCCAAAGGGAGAAGAAGAGGCTATTTTTGTGATTAATCACTAAAGCTATGGAAATCCAGCAGATGTCAGGTGATGAATTAGCTTGTAAGAAGCAAAGCAACAGGAAAAGAAAGGAAAAGGAAAGGTAGTATACTCTCAACATGGCATAGCACCTGTGGATCAGCCAGTTGTTTCATATTCTCTAGCCTTGTGCTTTTCTCATGCCTAACATGTCAGCGCTGCGCAGGGAACAAACGATTACCCCCAAACAGCATTTCTCTTCCAGTTCAGCTGAAGAAAGCACATCTACTATCCTCATGGTACTTATTTCCAGCACAAAAAATAAACGCTTAATGCCCCTCTTCAATCTACCTTCAATGTGAAACAAATGAGAATATACAAAAAGTAGGCAGGCAGGCAGGCAGGCAGAGATACCTTTTATAAAGGAATTCCCCAGCTGCTACTGCAAGCGGACGGTGTGTGGTGTAAACAAACTGGTATAAGGTTTCACAGTCTTCAGCTGATAACACATCCTCACAGTTCCTAGGCAAAAATAACAATAAAAGTTATAGTTCGGGTTTATCTACAAAGAATATCATGAATGCCATGCCCAGCTTTTACTAGACCTGATTCTCCATAGCATCGCAACTTGTTTACACAGCTAAAATTCAGTAGGACACAGCTAAAAATGCTATCAAATGGAATTGACAGCATTTTTGTACTCACTTTGTAGAGAAACAGAGGTCTGTACAAGCCATGAGGAATCAGGCCCACTGCATGGACAACAGTTTAAAGCATAACTAAGGTTGATTAGTGCTCATTGTATTTACAAAGAAAAAAAAATGGAAAATGATGCCTCTACTTTATGTCTTACAGGTTGGTCATAGAAGATAATAAACAACAAGTTGACTTCATTTTGCAATAAAAATTGTTTTAAAATTATTTAGCATAGTATTTTAAAACCTATACTCTAAGTTTATATAGAGTCACGTTTAAAAAGAAATCAAATCACATCAAATCACAAAGCATGCTTGTGACTGTGATCTTTCTGCCCAAACACACAGTCACAGTTTTTCTCACAGCCGTTCAGCTACACATCCTGAGAACACTGCTTGCCAACTAATGAACCTTCAACACTCTACGGGAGGTAGAAATGGTATTAACATCAGCCTTATACAGAAAGGAGACTGAAACATCAAGGTCGAATGACCTGCCAAAAAGATACCAGAGGAGCGAAGCCCAAAGCAAGAATTACAACTTCAAAACACTTCCTTTCTACTGCCATAGCAATGTCATTGGACTAAGCTACTTTAGAGAACGCAACAGCAACATCTGAGACCCTTCCACTTTCTACAGCCAGGCAAGGGGGAAAGGGGGTTTTATTTATTACTGCTATCAGTCCTCAGGCACTAACACTTTAAAGCCACCTACAGATGCAGACCACTAACATCTCTAAAACTGAGGATTCATGCTCTGCATTTGCTGGGACTGACATCATACAAAAATTAGCACCCTTTCCTGCACTTGTTTGTCCTCAATCCCATCTCACCCCTTAGCATCCTGACAAGTCACTAAGCCCCAAACAATTCTCAAACCTTACTGCAAGGAAGTGAACTAACAGTAGGTAAGAGCAGCACTAGTGTTTGCTGCAAATAGCTTTCAGCACTGCCCGGGATTTAAAATCAGAAACAAAAAAAGACAGAATTCTTATTTCTGGTAGTTAACAGCCTCTAGTCTATGGATGTTGAGACCTCATGAATTTGACCTTTACAACGTATTTATTCATGTATCATTTGCATGCTTTACCAGTTTTCCTCTGTTTGTTTATAACGGTCACTGACACAATAAACAGGTCTTAAATGGAAGCACTGATGATGTGCCTTCAAAAGTGATGGGTCAATCTGGCAAGATAAAGCTTGCCCCCAACTAAACCCAAAATCTGGCTTACATTCTTCAGGCAGGTTTTGGTGGCCTCTTTTAACCTGTAATTCCCTTGAGTGTATATTTGTGGTAGCAGGCCAAATGGAAAAAGCTCTGAGTATATATCATGTAATCAGTATAAAGAACAATATTTACAAGACTGTTATTCAACCACCTACAGAACTAAGGAAATAGTGTAAAAATGTGTTTATTGATGTTAAACAGTAAGTAATTGAAAAAGGTAATATGGTGCAGTACAGTACATGAATAAGCACTGGTATATCCTGTGAAGTCATGAATGAAATATCAATTATTAAACTTTGAATAGTTCTCAGCTGAGATGATCTGTTCTTTACCTTGCATCTTACAGTAGTAAAGACAAGTGACAGTAACACAAACAGCGACAACAAATAACACAGGAGTAAGAATGGATAACATAGCAAGTCTGTATTTTAAAAAGTTATGGAGAATTTACTGGAATAAGCTAACATGTAAATGTTAACCAGTTTGACATGGTTGCTTTCATTTTTTTTAGTGTGAAACTATTATTTAGTTATTTTAAAGCATTTAGTTTCCATGAAGCTGCCCTTTTCATTTTCTCTATACACATATATTTTTTAAAAGCTGGAAGCACCTTGCAAAATGGGAAAGTTCTATGCAAACATCCTGGGATCTAGACTGGGCCAACACACAATCACAGGATGACAGAGAGGTTGAGGCTGGAAGGCATCTCTTGAGATCTAATCCTACCTCACGCTGCTCAAGTTGGGTCAGCTAGAGCAGGTTGCTCAGAGCCATGTCCAGCTGGGTTTTGAGTATCTCCAAGCATGGAGACTCCACAACTACTCTGGCAACCCATTCTAGTGTTTGACTACCTTCACAATAGAAAAGCTTTTTTTCTTGTGTTGAAATGGAATTTCCTGTATGAAGATGCCAGGCAAGTGTGTACATTTTCTAATATCTGCATTTATTTGACCTCATATATCAGTTTTTTCCTTCTTAGCATTCTAGGGAAATAGTGATTATAACACCTGCTGTCCCTATTTAAAAAAATTCCTTGTCTGAATTTTTTGGATAGCTGAAAGTGTTCAGTAACATGGCTGCAGTTATAGACAAACCTCTCTTTGGGTAGAAATTAAATACTTGCCTATCTAGCACAAATGAAATGACAGCCGCCGTGATTTTGGCTTTGTCTTCAAAGAGGCTAGGAATTTGTCTCAATTACATTAATCTACAACAGCGGTATTCCTCCCCCTCCTCAAGACAAGAGTAAGTCAGAAGTAAAAGCTCTGGCTACGTATGAAACACAGTAGTAGTACAGAAGCAAAGGAGGGGAAAACAACCTATTTCTTTGCAACACAGGCTGGCAGACACTGATGATACCTCTTGAGCCTTGGATCTTTTCTTCTTTCTGGAACGAGAAGGAATACCTGCATGTGCTTCCTCTGCTTTCCACATGCTGCTCAGCCACTGCTCTCTGTGAAACACTGAGGTTTACTCTCATATCCCCACTCAAATGAGTGTTCAGGGGTTTTACTTGCGTCTGGACATCGCAACATTAAACTACACCTGCCATCACTACCATTACTGCTGTCGCAGCAGATGGGTGCCTTTCTTTTTAACATACATAAGGCAAGAATTATGCATTCAGAGAATACTTTAAATAGAGCGATACTACTGCTGCAAATCTACAGCCCTCAGAATGCCAAGTAACAGATAAAGGTTAAGCCAGAAGTGCCTGCCAGTGTTTAGGTGTCCAAAAATAAACAGGCATGCCTTCCACATACCAATGTCATGACACACTATTTTCTCTGCACTTCTGTGTGAACACGCCATGGAGAAGAAATTGCGATATTCTAGGGATAGCTCACAGACCCATTTTATTCTGTGTATGGCACCAGTTGAAAGATCTCATATCTTTGTTCCATTTTACTTTATGCAAGAGACATGACCATATACAGCTGCTGGAATCATCCCGCTTGCTCTCTCCTATTGCTTATACCAAGCATAATAATAATAATATCAAAATAGTAAAATAAAAATGCATCTGATGCACTTTTGAAAGTTGTGCTACATTACCCTTTTTCCTATCTAATGGCTGTGCAGAGAAAGATCAGGCACACATCATGGGGACATTGTTAATCCAAGGTATAGCATCTCAATCAAAAAAAAAAACTGTTTATTTTGCATTTAAAAGAAATCTAAGTCATAGAAATTTGCAAAGACATTGCACAAACAACTTTACTGTTGCCCTGATCATTACCATCCAAAAAATACAAGCATTCTAATGCTTGAGACAATAGAACATGTTTACCTGATTTTTATAATTATTTTATTTACCTCTTTCTACCCTGCTGTCATTGTAGGTATTTCAAGATGACATTTCGGTGATCAGAAAGAGAGAGGAGAGTGTGGTCGTCACTACAGCATAACAAGACTCCTTCCCCACTCACTTTTTAAATAGGATTAGTGTGTTGCAATGCACTGTATCCTATGATTATGCTGTGACAGAACACCAGAAGATGCACACTAGACAGATGCTGTGTAAGTAACTACGTATTTATTTTGTTTAAGAAACATAACTCAGGGAGACATACAATCCATACTCTTCCTTGTTAACTCTTCAGATGGGAGATATTAATATTTTTGAGTAGATACCAAGGTTTCTGAATGGAAGTATTTGATGGCACAAAATGGTTGAAGAGAACTTCCAAGGAAGTGTAAAAAAAGAGAAGACACAGGAGAAAGCACAAGCCTTCTTTCACTTTTGATCTTTCACTTTTGCTTTCTTTGGAATAGGCTTGACTCTTCTCAGTCACAAAGCGCTACCATAACTCTACCTGGATAAGAGGGTAGACCTAAAGAAATCATGGAAGAGCTGTAGTTTCATGTCATTTCCTTTTGCTAATACACGTGACTCATGCAAGCAATCAGACCTGTGCTGCCGAATTTGCTCCACTGAAGAGAGCCCTTCACATGGCTACTTTTATCAATTTCAAGTTAACATTTCCTTATTTTTGCTAAAGGCCACTAAACAAGACAAAGGTAGATATTTTCCTCATCTGTATGTAAAGTATGTCTCTCTCTTCAGCTTATTTTTTTTATCATACAAAAACACTTTTCACAATAGCATTTCGGCTTCCAATGCCACATAATGTTTTTCTGCACAATGGGTTGTCTGAAGGACCTTGCTAAAAACAATGCATTTGCCTATCAAATGTCACTTTCTCCTCCAAAGTCCATGAAACAGCAATACAGAATCACCTAGTTCAACCCCCTGCTGAATTATTTGTCATGGGACATCTGCAATGCTCAGTAACGTGTACTACATTATTAGCCATAGTGTATTTTGCCAAATCCGGTTTTCAAGATTCTCATATAGTGTAGGCCTTCCCACTTCAAATTAAGAGATTCTTGCCAGTCTAGGTGGGAATCAGAAGGGATAGTGAAGCTTTTAAAGTGTAAGAGTGAAGCAGCTTTACCTGATTTGTGACTCTTCCACTGAGCAGAACACTGGGCACTTACAAGTCTCAGTTTCCTGACCCTTAAGTTGGAGTAACTCTACTTACCACTGTCTAAGCACTGCAGTGAGAATTAACGTATTTATCAGCTCTACTAAATAGTTTAAACATGAAGTCCTCAATGAGTGCAATGAATCCAGTTTTCACTCTTCTTCACTCTTTCAGGCAGCTCTTCCAAATTTCTAACTTGGTGTTCTGTGCTTCAAACTCAGTTTAATTTCTAGTTACATTTAACGGATGTGATACAAAGTAATTTTCTCCTTCCTTGCTATTTATATATTCAAGCCATTTGTAGATTTGTGCCGCTACGTGCATCACTTCTAAACTTCCCTCATCCACCTACTACAGTTACCTAATTGCTTTTGCTGCTCTTTTCCGAACTCCCTCAACTCTTTCAGGTAGTTATGAACTACCTGAAATATAGAAATGAACAGAATTGTCTGGTACTAGCCTCACTAAATTAATTTGCTTTCTCAAAGGGCAGTATTTCCTGTAAGTTTCCTTATTTTCTGCACTTCTCTCTTTCAGTACATATTTATCACTCATTCTTTCTCCCTCTTTATTTCCTTCCTATTCCCTCTCAGATGCTTTGCAACATTAATGCTAACAATTATGCATAATTCAATAGCATTAATAATTTCTATTACGCTAAACCTCACAGGCTCGTTTCAGTTTTAGGATCCCATTGGGCTGTGAAAAATAGAAATCCACTAGCCGAAAGACCTTCACATTCAATTGAGACAACATGCAACAAACAAGAAAAAAACAGCTCAGCTCACAGGGTGAAAACACAAATATGGATTTGAACAGACCAGGTATGTGCACAGCAAGAGCGTTTTGATTCAGCACTGATTTTTCTTTTTAAATAATGTAACACATTAAGTGAATTGAAAAGGTTAGTGTTTTTCATTGCCTGCCTGGCTAGTAAAAGAGAGAATATAAAGGCCAGCACAGCGGTTTTATGGGCCAGTAGTGTGTACAGAATAACCAATGTATATTCCACAGTACTGGAATACAGTCACAGTTAAGAGATGGTTAAGAGATGTTACTAAAACACAAGGAGCACAGAAGTTCAACTGCAAGGCAAGAGTCACTGCAACGGTCAAACATCAAAAAAAATAGGTGGAGGCCTTGCTACTATACTCACCCAAAAGACAATTATGGAAACCAGAAAAAGAGTTGCTGATATACACACAATGGACTAATTAAAAAATAATTTTAAAAAAGGGTTACTCCTGCCCTTGCTCCTGGCTAGTGCATGTCACTAAATAACAAGAGATTTATTCCAAGACAAGAGACATGTTCTAGAGGTCAGTACCTGACCATTTAAGACTATATTCTTGGAGGAAAAAAAAAAAAATTTGCTGTGAGCTGTCTCCAAACCAAATATATGGAGTTTATGAGATACACATTCTAACCAGTAGATCTAAAAATGAAAACTTGAATCTGAAAGATCTTTCATGCCTCCATAAAAACGTACTGTGGGCAACTAGAATATAGCTGCCAAATTCGCAGATGACAAAAATGAGCCATGCAGAGAAGACAGTACAGTGTGACTGAAAGTTGTGAAAAATGTGGTTACATCGATACATACACACAGAAGCATGCTTTACAAACAGTGGAGTCCCTGTCACCAACCCTATTTCACGCTTTACTGCATGTACCAAGTAGCATAACTGCTTAGTATCCAGATACCAATCATAAGCCATAAAATGCATCTATTTCAGACACACTAACCCTGAAATTTCTTTGCTTCTGGAATACCATGTTGAGTCCTTTCTGACACATTTATGTACTGAAGCATAAGCTTCGCCATTGCTGGAAAAGCATCTTGATGCAGACCCTTATTAAGAAGTCTGTGTCAGAGACTGTCTGTACTGTCTGCATTGTCTTCACGCCGGTTTTATAGACTGGTGAGTACTAGTTTTATCAAAGAGAAGATCTGTAGTTGAATTTGTTCGTTAAGTCTCCAGTTCCCACTTTCATCGTTCCAGTAATTAAGACAAATCAACAGGGCTCACAGCAATTTGGGGGGGAGGGGGAGGGAAGAGGGGCTACGCAGCAGATGAGCAAAAACAAAGAAAAGCATGTGTTTGCTAGGCCTCCACACAGCCTAATTAAAAACAATTTTTTAAAAAATATTCATTTTACTCATGAAAACTACATTTCCTGACTGACAAGTGCTATTTAGAAAACTTTAATAAGCACTTATTCACGATGCAAACCTAATTGCATTTAAGAAAAATAAGGATAGAAGAAACATTGATCAAACTTTATAGCTGCAGCTTGCATTGATGAGAACATGATCCCACATAAGAAAGCCAGAGAAGCTAAACAGCTGCAGTGCCAATATAGCACTTGTTAGTTAGGTACAGAACAAGGGCAGCCGTAACACCATCTTTGTACTTCAACAATGGTGTATCGCTCCTCCTAGCACAGGGATGTATTATGCACATAGACACAGCATTGTACTTTGTTCCACTAACTACACAACACAGAGAACCAAGTGCTGCACAAACGGACATTGTAAACACAGTAACAATACAACCCTGTCTACTGCTGGTGAGACCCAAACAGTGGTACTTCCTTCAGAAAAGCATGCTATGTCCACAGCAGTCATATGCTGTTCTGATATATATGCTGGAGCAGACCTAGAGAAATGCCCCTCAAGTCAATGGAGTGTGAAGTGAAATAGAAGCCAGGCCCCCCTTCAGACTATAAAGCAGTGCTTCAGTATACAAAAGTACTTAAGACTTAATGTCAACAGCAATGCTAAAAAAAAACCCCATCCAAGTCGAACTGCTTTTACTTCAGCAATATAGAGTAACCGAGATAGCTGGCAGTGGCATATCCTTTGTCTGTTCCTATGAATAAGTGGGCCCTACTCATGAAGAGTTTGTTAGCACAGCAGCTTCAAAATGCACAGCAGCTACTGGTATGGCCAAGTTTTAAGAGTGGAGGAGAATACGGATACTGGCTTAGTTTGCCGCTGGGTCCAGCTCTGCCTAATCGTTGGGCTGATGCAGGAGAAATTAGAAAAGCTCCTTCTATTGCCAAATGCATATAGATACAGCACAGCATCTGTCATGTCCTAGGCTGTTCTTCAGCACTCATGCTGAGAGGCATTTGTTCTTCTATGGAAAAAACAACAGCAGCTTGCATAAGCAGTACATCAAAAGGTGGCTAAAAGTGGGAGAAAATGACAGGAAAAGCAGGTTTGATACATCTTGTCTATATCTGGATGTTTACCAAAGCTATTCCAGTTTTTCTGGAACTTGTCCCTACCTGAACACTTACAGCTTGTTTATACAAGGACCCCAAGGAAAATCCATATGAATGGATTCAACCATATTCAGCTCCTACGTGCACGCTCAGAATTATTAAATCCTAATTCAGTGGAAGTTAATTCACTTTCAAAACGATCAAATTCACCTTAAAAGCATTTTATCCTCAACATTAATAACATTACCTCAACATTAATAACATTAACTCAGAGGTTTCATGCAGTTCATTCATGTCTTAAGCCTCCTCATGTATACATGTCCTTATTTCAAAGCAAGAGCGCTCCTATGGCAGCTTATCTTGAAATAACTCCTGGAAAATTATTTAGAAGGAAATTTCCAAATGCAGATAAGTCTTAACTGTCACCTCACAAATTTTATTAGTAACTCTTCCCATAGCTTTCAGAGTTCTATGTACATACCTCAATATTTATTCTACATTACTTGGTCGATTAAGTTCTACATCCTCTTCTAGCAGTGGGTAATACTTTTAGATTACTTCTGAATATTGGATTCAAAATCTGTACTACTTCTGGAATGCTTCTGAATACTTCAGCAGAAAAGCAAATCACAGAAGGCTACTGGACAATGTACCATGCTGCACATGGAGGCATTTGTGTCAGCAGAAGTCAACTTAAATCCTGAAACAGCAGGGCACTTATGGAGTCCCAAAATCTATTTTGCATTAAAAAAAGAGGGACAGAGAATTTACTCATCCCTTATTTTGCAAAAAAAGCCATTTCTAAAATAAACATACTGCTCAAGAATGTATCAGAATAGGATTCATACAGTGCTGTAATGTTAGCCTAGCTTCTCCCCATACGTCCAGCTTGCCATTATCCTACTGAACCTATGACTGGTGGGTAATTTCCTGATTTTCTTTTTTGTTGTTAACCTTCCACTTCAGCAAAAACAAAATGTCACATACTTGCTCATTTCCTGTCAGTCTGTTTTGGGCTCAATAGCTCCCAGATTCTCTGCAACAGAGCCACGAACGTTCAAATTCTACCAACAACCTCAAAGCTCAAGGCTTCCTGTATCACCTGGGGAAACCAAGAAGGTGGCAGAGTTCACTGAGTTCCCAGTCAAGACCTGGAACACTGGGATGGAAGACTCTGTGGTGGGGAACTTCCCCAGAGATAGGCAGATGCTCTATTTGAGAAAAGCCAGAATGAAAATGCTTTGGAATTTCCTTTCAGGGGGAAGTATAAAGATATAACAATGTACTTTCCATACCAAATCTAAGCACAAAGATTTGCATAATGTTGGTGTTTCCCACAGAAAGAAAATGCCATGTTTTGAGCAGCCTTAACTGTAACTCGTATCCTGCCGGGAGCAATTGTTTCTCAGCATGTAATTGATTACAGGAAGATTCACCAGGACTGTATCTGGATCTTGTCACCATTCAAACAATACAGTAAATTAAAAAAGAAATTATTTACTGTGACACAAGCATCAAGAGTTTCATGGCTTGAACTGCTACTTCATGGTCCTTGTCCAGAAGCATGGACACAATTCGATCCTAATGGATGCAAAATGACAATAAAAAGATATAACATGTATTGTTCTCAACAAACACATATTTTTCCTACAGTGAGATCATCTACACTAGTAGAGCAGAGATTTATTTTTATTTCAGCAGCTATTTCCTAGGAGACATAAGGCAACTGGATTACTACCAAATAGTTCCCCAGCCCCGGAAAATTAACAGCATGTTAATTTTTAACTGAATTAATCATGCAGTAATATGATATTTTTCATAGATGTAATGTATGCGTTCACGAGAAATCAACGATAGTCTACAAATTAAAAGTGACTGACAACTTGTTTCTAAGATGTTACTACTGGCACTTCAATATGTTAAGTGAAGGTAAGGCTCAAATTACAAGCATTACATAACCAGTGTCTCCCATCAGCAATAAAGTGTGTATACGTACACATTACAGAAGCCAGTGTCTCGCTGGAAAAATAATTAGGATTCGGGTCATAAAGTACTTCCTGGAATAAGCAATATTCCCGCCCTCTAGATGTCACACTACTGTAACTTGGTACACGTATAAAACACCTCAGAACACAATGGAAATTTTCTTCTCTTGTGCACCCAAGAACTCACATTGCCCCCAGTACAGCCTACATTTTTAAGGCACGTTAAACCTTAAGACTTACTTGCTTGGGGACTAACAACTTTCTCACTTAACACTTCATTTCCAAATCTCTAGATTCATTTTACTTTGCACCTTCCTTCTCCTCACAACCGAGCTGCAAGGTGTGGAAGACCAGGAATCCTGAGTTTGGCAAACTCAAGGATAACAGAAGGAGAGTGTGAAATCAAGCTTGTGGAAAATAGATTACGAGTTACATATTTCCATTTACCATCACTAAGAAAGTGCGATTTTAACTTTGGAAGATTCCAAACCAGTTTATATTTTGCGTGTAGGTGTTTGGGTTTTTTTCGGGATTGGGGAAGGGGATGCTATGATCTATTTATATAGCATCTTCCACGCACAGAGATGTCAGTATGAACGCTGAAGCTATTTCATCAGTCTCTGAATAACAATCCTGCAGTTGCCTAAGCAGCTTACAGTAGCTTACAGCAACCTTCCTCTAACAGGAAATAGAGAGGAGGGATAAAAAATTGTTTAAACAGGGGCTGATTTTAGACAATCAAGTTTCAGCCCGAATAATTTATTCTTAAGGCTTCAATATTAATCTATTTCTTGTTCTTTGAGAACATGACATAGCTTTTTTTAGCTACTGACAACTGTTTTGACAGTTGTAATGGGTAAGCACTGCACCTTTGGCAAAAAGAGTATGAATTACCACCACATGCAGGCATTGATTACATACTGATTCAGAGGGACTGAGATATCCATACCTCCTCTCACAGCATTCTGAGCTTTCTTTTCCAAATACTGAAAAGGCTCAGCCCCACTGGCATAAGAACAGCTGATGAAACCATCACTAAGGGCAGGATTAAAAAAGAAAAGGTTTGAGCTCTTAAATGAGTCAGGATGTTGCAATATGATAAAGGTCATGTATAGGGTCACTGTGGTCACATGACAAGTTCTCAAAATTACAGTCTATCATTTGACTTGTCATGACAAATCAGGAATCCTTCTTCAAGAATGATAATGACACAGTAGATCAACAAGGAGTCATGCATTCCCACATCAGTGTAATACATGATCAGCCAATGCAATATGTACCAGGTGAACCCATTATCAGGAATAGTGAAAAAGGGACCTTTGGAGTATCAAATTCTTTCTCATCTGCCAAAGACCCTGTTAAAAAAAAAAACGGCCATTCTGGATAAATGGCAAAGATGACTGACTAAAGATTATGCTAACACCATTCCATGTATAAGCCAAAATAAAACAGAAATGTTCACATAAACAGAGGGAGACATCTCTGCAAACCCCTTCAGCCACACAGTCAAGCAGACTGTCTCTGCAGCACTTCATAGTTCTGTCAGTCAAGAAAATGGGGAGATCAGCTCTCATTAAAATATCAGATCCTGTACGTACACCCAACCCAGATTTAAAAAACAGAAAACATAACTCATTTACCTTGAATCTGCTAGTAAAGAGATCCATCCTAGAAACAAGTTCTTCTCTGCTATAAATTCCCTGCAGTCCCAGAAGACACTTTAGCCGTACTTCAGCTTGCTACAAGACAAAAAGGAATCTGCTAACAGTAACAAATACGCATCTTTGATGTCATTTACTATTGACTGGTATTTACATTAAGAAAATAAGAGGTTTGTGGGTATGCCTACAACAGGCTAGTCAAATACTGCCTCATCTTCTTTAACAGTGATATCAGTACCATTATGTCTGTGTGCACACACACATGTGTCTCTCTCCCACACACACCCAGGAAGCCAGTAGCGAGCCAAACTTCAAGTCCTCAAAGTTTGTGTTAGGCTCCCTTAAGAGTCAAAGAAACTCTCACAGATCTCACAACTGATGAACAACAACAGAATTTAAAAATGGAAGAATTGTGCAATTCACCTGTCAAAGTTTGCTTGTTTCCTTTCAAGACTTGACTCACACAGAAGTTAGATATGGATAAGGCCTTTTAGAAATTCTAGTCAAGATAAAACTCCAACAGGAAGAGGTGCATCTTAGAAATGCACCAGCTTATCATTGTGGGTCCCCAAAGGTACAAAGTTAGATGTTATGCCTTCTTCCTCTCATTTCTCCTTTACACTGGAACATTACTCTGTATTTTAAGCATTCTAAGAAGGGAAGAGTTGCTTTGATTTCATTTCTGCAAGGAGTTACTTCATGCTATTAGCACTGATACTTCACAAACACCTCAAAAAAGAGCCCTTTTCTTTATCCAACTTCTAAATATCTTAGGTGTATGGCTAAAACTTTCAAATGACAAAAGTTTTAATGTTGCCAAGACAGTCATTCTGAGGATCTAACACAAAAAAAAAATCACTGTGTTCTGTGAACTTATAAAGCCAAGGATATCAGGAGACACTTGAATGAACTGCAGGCTTTGATTCAGTCTCTTCATATTTCTTCCTTAATTCTTCCTGCTAACAATAGCAGTAAGGAAAACCAAGGGAACCCAAGACGGGAGACCACCTACACACAGGCTATCCATTACTACAAGTTCCTGTTCACCTGCTTATGATGGATAGCAAAGATCCAGCAAGATCCAGCAAGAGGCTTTGACTAACAATTTTGCATTAGGCAGCATTTGCTAGAAATAGAAAAAGAAAGATCAACAGGCAACGATGAGCACCGCGCTCTTAATTTATGACACACAATGCAGTACACATTCTAAGTTGTGCTCATTTCTTTCAAATTAAGGGCCTTGTCCAAGAAATAAACTGTTGCCCCCAATTGCTCCTCCTTACAGGGGCTCTGCAACATGGAATTCCATTCAGCAACAGTCTGAACTTGCTACTCATGGCTGTCCGCTGCCAAGAATACCATGGACGACAGCTCTGCCAACTTACATGAACTCAGTTCAGCCAATGTACTGCAATCCTGGCTTCAGCTGCCCTCACTAATTTATTACGAGGCTGTATTCGTGAATAGAGACTGCATTTGGGCTAAAAAAAAAAAGAAAACATTTGTTTGATAGTTTTGGTTTGTTAGGCAGTCCTGGAACACAGGACACAGGAATATAGCCCCTGGAACACAGCTAGGGATTGCTGTCATTTGCACTCGTCAGTCAGGTGACAAATTCAAGTCTGCAGACACAAAGTTTAATGCGTTAAACTATACCTACCTTCTAACATATTCACTTGCCACCCCAAAACTCTCAGCCATAACCCCACATGTGTACAGTTCTTTAAAGTGTTGAGAAAGTTCTATCTAGGGACTGAAAACAAATAATTACTCCTGCTATGACTATTTCTGCTATCTTCCTATAGCTCAGCTGCAGTCTCTTTCTCAAATGCCTCTTCTTTTTCCAGATACATCACTCCTTGTAGCTTCTTCATTATTCACCTCCTTCTAAAACCACCTCACCTACTTACCTTCATCGCCTTTTGACAGCAATGTAGGCAAATACAAACACCCTACCTTCTACTCCCCTCACCAAAACTACAGTTCTAATCTTGATGAAATAACCTGCCTGTCTGGTCTTTCAAAGCTGTTACATAGTGAAGGGGAATGATGTAAGCATATTATCAGGATGCTCTGAACACACACTGTCCCTCAGTTATATCATAGTGTATTTTGACCCTGGCCTGCAAACAGACTGCCATGGAAAATCAGTAAGTCAGTGAGCAGCTCTAGTGACAACAAAGAGCTCTACATGGGCTCCAGCACTGCTTAGACACATTCAGTTATGAGATTTCAGTCTCAGCCCCATCTCTGTGAGGTAAGAGTGAGACTGCAGGTCTTACAGATACAGATGAGACCTGGAAGATTTGATGAGGTTGGGCTGGGTCACGCTCTTTTTGCTCCTCAACACATGCACCCTCCCTAGAATAAACTGGGAAAACCAGGTCTTAATCTGAAATACTCCTGATTTGCAAAGACAATCCGGCTTAGCTGTCCCGTTGAGGTAAAACACAATAAAAGAAATTGCCCTCACGAAAAATGTCAGTACATACACAGGGAGATGATCTTTGGAGCAGAGCATCAGTATTTTAACATGGACATCTGAAGAAAGAAATATTCAGAAATTGCCATAACAGTGGGATCAGTTTCTATGGCCATGCTGAATGGGAGGCATCACTGAAAACCCTTTCAATCAGCTGAAATTTGCCAGGAGGATCATGTGGTCAGGACACAAAAGTTCATTTCACCAGAAATTCCCTGCTTCCCACAGGATTTGTTTGGGGTGTTTTCTATAGGCTAATGAGAAAAGCTCAACAACTTGCCCTGAGCTCCCAAAGCTAATCTAATACCTTGGGATGTTCCAAGCGTGTGTGTGCATCTCCATCTTCATTGCCTCTGCTCTCCTGCCTGCTGCTTCTGCCTTCCACTTCCCCCATTCTGACTCTTGATCCTCTCTGTTTTTCTGCTCTTCAATTTGATTTTTCCACAGCATTCCCTTTCAACACCTGCCCAGATCAGCACTGGTTTAACCGGATCTGAGTGTTGATTAGTAGCTAGGTATACCCTTGGAGCACCAGTTAGGTACCTGGGATTCACAAATGCACTAAGAGGTGATTGGGCTTATACGTAACATTGCTTAATTGCATACAACTGTCAGATTTAGTACTAAGCATTATTTGTCATTAAAAAAAAAAAGTTATTTGTAATAGATGAACATAAAATACTTACAAATACATCAATAAAAAATATCCCTTTACATCATTGCTCCATAGCTCTTACTGGGCCAAAGAGAGATTCTCATACGCAATTCTGAGCATATTACCACTGAACCGGGAACACCCTCTTGCATCTAGGAAATAACCTTTCATAAAAACATATAATGCCTAATATTAGGATAAAGTATAATGGCAAAATGGTATCTCAGGGGCAAGAAGGAATAATTATATTCAAATAAAACTCTGAAGACAAAATGTTAATTGTATACTTTCTTTTTCCTTCTCTAAAGCTTCCCAAATGAAGCTGACTGAACTTAATCTCTGTTTATAATGCTGTAGATGATCCTGCCCAGATTTTCCCCACAGTTAGAATACTTTTGTGGTTATTCAACTCTGGGGCCTAAATTATTTGGCAAACATCTCTACTTTATATTCTAAAAGAAAATTGGCTCTAGGAGTGATCAGTTTCTTGCTGCCCACCCCCATCAACATGGAATGGAAATGCTTATTAAGGAGTAATAGCGGAAAATAACATTCAGATGTATATAAAAGCACCACTGCCCCTGTCACTGCCAAAAATGCCCTCCTCTCATTTTAGATTCTGGCAACTTAACAGTGGCTACGAGTCACAAAGCACAGTCAGGACCGCAACCACCAGTAATGGTATACCACCAGGCCTCAGCCAAACGTGGAATATAGGTTTCTGACCCTGTCTCACTCTGCTGATATCTGTATTGCTTCTGCAAAAACTTAAAAAAACTGCCCTTTCCAGTTGCCACTAAATGACACTGGATGAGCTGCATGTATTAAACAGAGATACCAGATGTTAATTGTCACTGTACAGCACTGGGAAGGAAAAAACATCATCGTCAAAAATGACTTTTAATTTTCATAGTTTGAGAACTCTCCCAACTGGAACTAAAAAGCTGTTACATTTTGATCAGATACTATTTTTTTCAGGAAAAAACAATAGTTCCCGAAAGATTTGTTGCTCTTAAAATAAAATCTAAACAGTACCTTTACAGTAATGGCAGAAAACAGGAAAATAAGAGGCTTTGTGCTCCCCCTCCTGGCTTTGTTGTAAACTAACATTTTATTCAGAGCACATAAACGTTTCTTAAATCTAATACAAAAGTGAGAATGTTTACGAATTTATAGAGGAGCTACATATATTTTAAAAGGTGACCTGCAGAAGTATAGCATGCAGATTCCAGTAATCAACCACTGATGATAAATATCCCTCTCTCTCTAAAATCTATCATGCATTTTAAAAGCATGAGAAACAGCGTACTTCTGAGTTAACTTTTCTTAAAAGTATGTCTCTACCCAAAAATAAAAACATAATTACTAAAAGGAAAAGAAAAAAAATGATTGAAATAAAGAATTGTTTCAAATAGAGAAGAATAAGGAAAAATCTCAACTATAACAAGGTAAGATTTTAAAAAAAGTGCTGCAAAAATCCATTTACCTCCAAATGAGAAATATGATATTGCAGAGTAATTTACTATTGGTAATATTTATCTACCATCTTTATAAAATAAAACAAAATTTTAAATGTAATCATCAGCCTTAAAGCAGAATTTGGGCCAGATTTTAACACTGCATGTACTCAAAGGATATAGTCCATGTTACAAAATAGTAAGAACAGTTTCCAACTCAATCCACTTGATAACACATGAAAAAACTGCACACACAGGGACACACACTCGATGCACTGCTACAGACTTGGAAAAGTGTTCTCTGTTATTTAGTGATGGGATAGCTTTAAAAATGAAACTTGAAATAGGACAGAAAGGAAATTATTTTGATACCATCACAGTTTTAAATATATACTCTTAAGAATCCTAAAATTTAAATTCTTAAAAAGAAGGGTTTTCTATCTACTGTCCCTATAAGGTGATAAGAAAAATTAAAATTTTACCTTATCATACAGCATCCACCCAATGTATTTTAAGTAACTATCATTTAAAAAAGCATCTGGGTATGTTTTCATCCAGCTGCCAATTTCTTCAATGCAAGTGGCCCGGATCTCAGGGATCACATCACTGAAATTATAAAACTCTACATTAACACATTAAAATACCTAATTAAAGTATTTTTATTTTCTGGAATTGCAGGCATATGTACAATCCTAAATATTAAAAATATTTTCATATTAATGCTTCAAGCTAGTCTTTAATCAACATTTAACCCACTTTTAGCTATAAATGTTTCATACTGTAATTATTTTGAAGTTCTGGATATTTTCTAGTGATATCAAGCAGGAAGAACTTAAAAGAAATGCACTTAACAGAGGTCCCTTTCTAAGCCCAAATTCTTTAAAAAAAAAAAAAAATCAAATGCTACATGTTTTCCTCGACACTCTCAGTGCCTCTAAGATGTTTAACTTCATTCTGGGATCTGGGCAATCTGAGCAAGATTTGCTTGGGAATGCAGATACATATCATAGCTTTATTTTTATTCTTACCGGTAACGGTTTAGAAATGTCCCTTTGAAAATAGCATTCATCATGTTCTGTATCTCCAGAAGCTTCTGCTCATACTGAAATACAAAGAGAATGTAATGTTTACAATGTTCCCACAAATTTGCTTCACATGAGAAAGTTGCATCAGTGCCTTCACAGGGCTACTATGGTGCAAATCCCTAGTGTTTACACATGGTACCAACACAAAATGAGTGATCTGCAGCTACACTAGGAATTGGCCTTCTTGTAGCTATGTCCTGATGAAAGATTATCAGATACCAACTACAAATCAGGTACAGCACATAGCATGTTTGATGAAGAGAGTCTTGTTAATAATACAGAAAGATACAGCACAACTATTAAGTGGTATAGGTCCAAGTTTTTCACATATAGGTTCAAGTTCTCCTTTTTTTTGCACTGTATCAGAAATGGAAGAAAGGCAGGCAAGGGAATTCTCAAAACTAATTTGTAGCTCACTACTAGCATGGATTTTAACCAAGCCCTGAAAACCTAGCTTTGAACTTCTGGAAACATAAGTTACTTAATAAAAACATTCTTTCATGAATAGCATCAAGAAGGGTGACGAGTTTGTTCCCCCCATACACATTTACTGTTTTCCCTGTAAGATCAGAAATATGATGATGCTAAGAACCTCTGTCTCACCCACAGAGTTCTTCCTATGAAATAGGGGCTATTTTTAGAACACAAAAACCCACGGGCATCCAAAGCTCAGAAGAGAGGTAACTGATTCTAAGGTCAGTGGAGCAGGGACTATGCTTGATGTTCGTACATCAGATTACCTCAGCCATCAAGCTAGAATTATTTCTTTTGGTTAAAGGCACATCTCTGGGAAGTGACAAGGAGCTGTCTGGCTGAGCAGAGAAGAAATGACAGAAGCTGAACAGCAGAAGAGATAGAGGCCAGGGACGACACCCACCACAGTGAGTCACTGGGAGCAGCTCCCCAGTTAGCCTTTCAGACTGAGGGGTGTTACTTTCCATGGGGGAGTGAGACACACTATGGGAGGCAGGGGAAGAGCATTTTGGGATCGCACAAAACTTACTACAGGATGTTTAAGGGAGGAACCAGACGCAGGGAAAGGTGGCTCGGGGAGGAAGAAACATGGGAAAATAAAGGATACGGGGATAAAAAGGGCTGGTCAAATGTGAACAGCACTGGTCAGTATGCTTGTCTGGCAATGTCCTGCGCCTGATCAGCACTGTCCTATCATATTAAATTCTATTTCTAGCCATCTTCCTGGGTGAGGGGATGCCTACTACGCACGCATCTGTGTGTAAGGAGTTCCAAGTGCCAGCAACCAGAGTCAGACCACAAGTCACAGGGGCCCCTGTGTTTGTGGTGCCAGCAACTGGAGCACGTACGGGGACGCAAGTCAGTATGTGATCACTAGCAAGTATCAAGCCAGACTAGCCAGAAAGTTAAGCGGTCTGAAAGCTAGGTATGTGTGTGTGTGTCACTAAGGATGAGATCACAGTAGGCTACTGGAAAGACCAGGGCAGTTCCAGCCAGCTGCCAGAAAGACCATACGGTCTGAGGGTCAATTAGGAGACCCGCTGGTTTGTGTATGTATCTGTGCGTGTTTATGTATGTCCCTGAGGAGTAAAGCATCTGGGAAGAGCAAGGATCCAGGTGCAGCTACTGGATGGACTGTGTGTCCAAGGACAGCTAACAGGGGATCCACAGCATGTACTTGTATCTGCCTGCGTGTGCACCTGTGAGGGAGCGGTCTGTATCAGCAACTGGAGTGGGGCTACAACCTCAGGGGCTCACACATCCAGGTGCCAGCAATCAGGGATCCATGGGCCAGTACTGAGCATACTGAGTGTCTAAGCTCCACTACTGGAGGGATCCACATTGTACATACGTGTGTGTGTATATATATATATATATATATATATGTCTCACTAACAGATCTTTATCCAGATCAACCAGAAAGGTGAACAGGATGAGGCCACTGGTGCTGTTTGTGTCTGAGGGCTGAATGTTTCTTTTTGTGTTGATCTGTGTGACTGGCCATGTAGATATCTGTTTTATGCATGTATTTGTGGCTGTGCCTACTGGGAACGCATGCTCAGTCTCACTACTGATTGGATCTGGGGGCATGCAGCTGCGGCAGCCTCACCTCTACTGAGCTACCACATTGGGCATCCCCCTAGCATGCCTAACCTCTTTTATTCTTCTCTCTAGTTGGTCAAGTCTGTAATTGGTCCTTTTGCCACTTATCGTGTTCTTCTCCACCTCGTATAATCTTTGAGCGTTGTGCTTGTTGACATCAAGGTTCAGATGTACATTTACAACTGCTGTCAGAAGCTTCATTGCTGAAAAGGAAACAAAGCCAATTTAGCTTAGCTTAGAGATACAAAGCTTAAATATATTCACCGCTTTACCACAAAAAGGATATGGTTACCCAAACCCAGTTTATTATCCCAAACGCAAACAACACTAGATTACAGTAATTTGTTTTAAAATACAATGTTTGTTTTAAAGGCAGAGGGTGATCGGAAGGGAAAATTTATTCGTATTACTGATGATTTACAACTTTGGGCCAGAGCTAATTTGCAGACTAGTAAGAGAAGTAAATTACAGGGCAACTTACTTACTTTATGCAATTTAGATTTTTCTGCAGAAGAATCTAGAGCTGTAGAATAGGTGCGTTTCAATAACAAAAAATAGAGAAATTAACTCATCTTTTACTTAAATTGACAAAAAGTAATGCTTCTCTAAAGATCACTAGATATTGGTTCACATTGATTTCAAAAGCTTTTTTAAGTCTTTAAAGCAAACAGTGTACTTTAGTGCTGTTCACATGGCAGAGAGGGCACTTACTGGCTTAAAAAAAAACCCACAGAAGTGACTTTAACATCATCATGCTGCATCAGATAAAAACATGTTACAACTAGTGTTCTTTTCAGCACAAGCATCAGAAGAATAACAGCTCTCCAAAGGAAGCTTTCATAAGTGAAGTGTTTAATGTACCCTCTTTGCATTATGTATGGCAGGAGGGAAACTAATGAAATAGAAAACTGACTGTAAAAAAATCAGTTACTGCTAAAACATCAGAACACAACATAATACTAAAATTAATTTTCTCGGACATTGAAGATTTCACTAAACATCAAAATAATACAGGCAACTGCATTTTGAACTTTTCATAGAAGTAAGTGTGATGTCCTGAGCTTCTGCTCAAGAACTTCAAATATCCCCTTTTACATTAGCCATTGGTGTAGATCTACCATATCTAAACCTTCCAAATTCCATTCAGATACATGTGGAAACAAACTATTTATATTACAGTCGCACTGTCGATGCATACGCAGAGAACAATCATTCCAGTAGAGATCTTTTCAATTTTGAGAATTTTTATTAGCAAGCATACAAGTCAACAAAACTCATGGTCTATGGCACTTCTGTGAGTTGTTTTACCTGCCAAAGTGCTTGTGTGCCTAAATGCTCTAACCATGGAGTCTGCTAAGCCTGTAAGCAGTGAGATGATGGTATCCATCAAGTAGCTATCGTACAGGACGCTGCTCTGACATTGCTGGACAAGCACTGCAATGAATTCACAGAAATTGGCTTTGAATTTCTTCCAATAGGGTCCTGTTTTGATGAGTGGGTAGTCTTCATTGTCCTACATGAGAAAGAAAGAATAAAGAGAAAATATACATTAACCAATTTTGTTTCTGTACACCACTTACCTCTCTCCCACTGAACTCCAGAGAGTTTTACTGCAAGTCTCACCTCAGCTCCCCAGTAACTTTTTTCATGGTTATTAGTCCAAGGTAGGGACATGTAACAAAGTTACAGGCAGGCATGGATATGAACTAGCTTTATTAGAGCTACTCTTGTCTTGACAGCTCTGCAGGAGAGAGCAACAGATGAAAAATAGATGTGAATGGACACGCGGGAGAAGGCTTATGTGAGGCCACAGTACCATAAATACCTTTCACTGGCATAAAACACCAGCACTCCTGGCCTCCTCTACTTCCTCACAGGTAGTAACTGCTTCCCCACTGCCCCTTCTTTCCTGTTCCTGCAGCAGTAAAATTAATCAGGAGCTGATATGATTCAAAAGAACTGTTACTTTACCAAATTGTTTTTCAGTTGGATCAACTCCCTGAGCTGGTTCAGCATGTGACTACACAAAGGTCCCCTACCCAAAAGGGCATATAGTAGGGGAGTGAAAACAAACTGCTGTGGTGTGGGGCGGGACGGGACTGTTTACTGAGCAGCACTGCCAGCTTTGAGAGTTTATCAGGCTACAGCTTAACACCAAATACTGTGTCAGTCACCTATACCACCAGTACCTCAGACTCTGGAAACCTCCACAGAAGCAGTAAGCAGATAACACCTTTTACATTATGCAAAAAGTAAGTTATGATAAAGCCACTAGAGCAGCCACATTACATTTGGCTCTGCCAGGAAGAGAGCCGAAAGACAGGAGTTCAAATGACTTCCCAGACAAAACGGTAAGCCCCATGGGAAGAATATTCTGCAAAGACTTCACAGAATCACAGAATGTTTGAAGATGGAAGGCACCTCTGGAGATCATCTAGCCCAACCGTCCTGCTCAAACAGGGTCCTCTAGAGCACACTGCCCAGGATCGCGTCCAGACGGCTTTTGAATATCTCTAGGAAAGAAGACTCCACAACCTCTCTGGGCAACCTGCTCCAGTGCTCAGTCACCCTCACAGGAAAGAACTTTTTCCTCATGCGCAGATGGAGCTGCCTGTGTTTCAGTTCGTGCCCGTTGCCTCTTGTCCTGTCGATGGGTACCACGGAGAAGAGTCTGGCCCTGTCCTCTTGACACCCTCCCCTCAGATGCTTACGCACACTGAAAAGATCCCTCTCAGTCTTCTCTTCTCCAGGCTGAACAGGCCCAGCTCTCTCAGCCTTTCTTCATAGGAGAGATGCTCCAGTCCCCTCATCGTCTTCGTAGCCCTCCGCTGGACTCTCTCCAGGAGTGCCATGTCTCTCTTGGACTGGACACAGTACTCCAGGGGAGGCCTCCCCAGGGCTGAGGAGAGGGGCAGGATCACCTCCCTCCACCTGCTGGCAACACTCTGCCTAATGCACCCCAGGATGCCATCGGCCTTCTTGGCCACAAGGGCACACTGCTGGCTCATAGCCACCTTGTTGTCCCCCAGGAATCCCAGGTCCTTCTCTGCAGAGCTGCTTTCCAGCAGGTCAGCCCCCAGCCTGTCCTGCTGCATGAGGTTATTCCTCCCCAGGTGCAGGACCCTGCACTTGCCTTTGTCGAACTTCATGACATTTCTCTCCGCCCAACTCTCCAGCCTGTCCAGGTCCCTCTGAAGGGCAGCACAGCCCTCTGGTGTGTCAGCCACTCCCCCCAGTTTTGTATCATCAGCAAACTTGCTGAGGGTGCACTCTGTCCCTTCCTCCAGGTCACTGATGACTAAGTTAAACGAGACTGGACCCAGTATTGACCCCTGCGGCACATCGCTACCTACAGGCCTCCAATTAGACTCTGTGCCATTGCTCACAACCCTCTGAGCTCGGCCATCCAGCCAGTTCTCAATGCACCTCACCATCCACTCACATAGCCTGCACTTCCTGAACTCGCCTGTGAGGATGTGGTGGGAGACAGTGTCAAAAGCCTTGCTCAAGTCAAGGTAGACAACATCCACTGCTCTCCCCTCATTTACCCAGTCAGTTTCGTTAAGCATGGTTTCCCTTTGGTGAATCCATGCTGACTACTCCTGATCCCCTTCTTATTGTCCACATGCTTAGAGATGGCATCCAGGATGAGCTACTCCATCGTCTTTCCAGGGACGGAGGTGAGGCTGACTGGCCTGTAGTTTTATGGGTCCTCCTTCTTGTCCTTTTTGAAGACTGGGGTGACATTTGCTCTCTTCCAGTCCTCAGGCAGCTCTCTTGTTCTCCATGTCCTTTCAAGGATGATTGAAAGTGGCCTAGCAATGACATCTGCCAGCTCCCTCAGCAACTGTGGGTGCATCCCACCAGGGTCTATGGACTTGTGGGTGTCCAGTTTGCCTAAATGATCTCTAACCCAGTCGTCCTTGACCAAGGGAAAGTCTCCTTTACTTCATAAATTCCAGCTTCAGACCACGTGAATATTTCATTTGCACCTCACACATACTGGAGGTGATGAAAGATAACACATCAGATTTAATCCCAGGAATGGTTTTGAATATTCTTTGCATCCTGACAGTTTCCTAGTATTAATGGAGCCAAGTAATTCCAAAACACCACTTGCTATGGAAAACAGCATCTTAAAGCCAGGGCATTACTCATCTGATTCCTCGCCATTCAGCCAAACACTTTCTCAGAGGAATCCTATAAGGCAGCTTCACACCCAGAATAACCTCAAGTCTTAAGTCACATCTTTAGTGCACTTTATGCTTTTTTTCCTGCAATTTTGTTTCCAAAGCACCCGGCACACTGCTTTCTTGAAAGATAAACACAAATCTGTTACGGACAGATCTCAGGGATGTGTGCAACCCAAAGAACATTAAGAATTTTGGAATTGGGATGCATTCCTGATGCAAGAATCAGTTCAGGGCCTAAGAGTAGCAAGTGACAAGCAAGAAAGGGAAGCCTCCCAGCAGGCCTCATTCACTGCTCCTTGATCAAAAGACAGACAGCACAGAGAACATGCAATGTCAGGAAATACCAACCTTACACAGTAGCTTACTCCTCAATTTGCAAAGTAGCATAAATGCAGGAAGATATCCTACTTTTGAAGAGCATTTCTCCTATCCATGCACACCTTATTGGGATACTGCATAACACTATAGGCATATTCTAAATATACTAACAGCACAATAGGGCACACAGCCTAAGTTTAGGCACCTAACCTGGGATTGCCTTAGAATCCCTCAATAGCCAGAAGAGAGAAGCTGCTCTACTTCCAGAGACTATGTCAGATTAGGAGCTTAACACGAGTTCTTCCAGAGAACTATTCAAATCACTCAAGTGAGGCTCCTGCTCTGAGTCATGCTGGAAATGTTCATTTCTTCCATTTCTTCCAGAGTCTAGGGAGAGAGAAAAACCAGACTGAAATGTCAACAAGGAGTCGAGATGAATACTGCACAACGCAGCAGGTGATATATGGAAAGAGGCATTGCAGAAAAGGAGTTTCTGATCTTAAAATACTCTTCCAACCAAACATTTATGTTTGCAAAAGAATAGTTGGATGCAACAAGCTTTTGAACAACTCTGTCTGCCAAAAGCTGCGTGTCGGTGTGTGCGTGCACATGTGTGTGTTCGTGTGCATATGGAGCTTGCTGAAAGAGGAGGGAAATCCTCTTGAATACTATTGCAACTTGACACACACCATTCAATCTACTGTTTAAAACACTGTAAAGACAACTTATCTCATCCAGTTCAGTGGGTCACCTTCCTTATAAATCAGTAACAAGAAACTGGCACTTCCAAAGCATGAGCGAGTTTATTCCAAATCAGAGGTCTAAAACAGACCAGATGTGACTGGTTACCTCCTTTCGCTAACCAGAAGTTTAAGGTGACTAGTTCTGACATATATGCCTACACTGCAGACAACTACAGCTGTGGAAAACTCTACTCTACAGTCACGGAGAATTACAAGAGAGCTTTTTACCATGTCCACTGGCCAAGTAACTGTTAGAATCCAAGGATAAGCCATGAATTTCTTGTACTGCAACCCAGTTTCCTGTAACACATGAGAGAAAGTTGTAAAAGCTTTTTGATGAAACTGCACATTTGATTCACAAAAACAGCAGAAATTTTGCATTGTATTTAAAAGACTATTAAAACTTAGGACAATTTATATTATCCATGCCTCCTGCAATCCAGCACGTTAAACAAAAACTAATCCCTTCTCATCTAGCTTTTATTTATAACCAATAAGTACATCAGTAGATGAAAAATGAACTTTTATATAAAGCCTGAGTTCTCTTGATGCAACTAAGAGACAACTTGTGTTTACAATGCATAAGCAAACATATGCAGGGTATAGTCCTCATAATTAATTCTAAGAGATGGCTAAGAGTCTAAGTATATATTCCTCTCCAATGCTTTGTAATTAGGTATTGTAAAACAGTTGAACTCCAGGAAATCATTTTGAGCTTTTTCAAATTATAGAGGAATGTTTTCAGAACTAGTATGAAAGAAGTTTCCTCAAATCTGCAATCACTCCAAGATAAAAGGCATGAAACGTGCAATTCTTCATTAGTCTCAGTAAAGCACTACAAGTATTTCTATCCCCATCTGACTGTACAGTTGCACCTCAAACTTCTCTCTTTCACTGCTAAACATTTCAGCAAAAGTATGAGACAGAGTGAAACCTACAAAAGAACAAAGAATGGCTGCAAGAAATAAAATGCCACAAACAGGAAGCAATGCATTAGAGAGAAACAGAAGAGATGAAGAAAGACAGAAGACAAAAAGAAGTGGTCCTGCAGGTAAGCCTACTTCTCCTCTGAGATGTACCATGGCCCACAAAGAGGAAATAAACGCATCTGAATGATGATATTAAGATCATCTTCTGCTTCTGATGCCAGTATATATTTTTTCACTAATATCAGTGAGAATTTTGTGAGGATGCATGGGTACATAGATATAGTGTTGCAACTACTTAACTAAAACAGTACAGCGACCGTTAAATCATAGGATCAAGACTGAACCTTTAATTTTCCGATCCTCTGAATGCTAGAAACAAGTAATGTAAATCAAAAGGGAAGATCAGTTAACAAAGCAGATTTCTGGTAATGTTCTCCACCTTCATTTGTACTTTTACTACTGTCATTTGTTTTCAAAAATATTGTAGCACTCATGACGGGTCTGTACGGTAATACTTCTCAAATAACTTTCACTAAGTTGTGCTTCCATCCTATTTATGAAAAAGATGACAGAACTGTACGAGAAAGGAAATGCAAACACAAAGAGGAAACAATTCATTTAAAAAAAAAAAAAGGCAAGCTACTTCGATCTTGTTTGCAGTACTTAAAAGGTTAAACCTGTATTTCAAGACGACTGATTTCAGTGAGCGTCTTACCTCTGCAAGCAGAGCAGAATAAGGCTCAGTGTTTAGATTCATAGAGAAGTCAATGTTTTTGACAAAAAAAAATCTCGCTCTTAAATAAAACTACTATATGTTTGCAAACATATTCTATGCAGCTATGATATGCCTGTAAGAACCACAGAACCATCATTTTCTACTTCTCCCTCTGTCCTTGCCTTCCAGAGTTACCTTCTACTTGTTTTATTGTAGAGTTCAGCCCACAAAATTTGACGGTATGAATAAAATACCAATTATCACAGTTCTGCTTTAACAGAAATCAGTCTAATATTCAGGCATTTTTTCCAACACCTAATAACTGTGGTAACTTAAAAATGGTTGCTTCAAAAATAAGTCTTTATATATCAATATTGGCTTTATACTAGTCTTTAATATATTATACTATTTTAATACATAGTCTTTAAGAAATTTTCACTTTGTATAAATCATTTTTGGAGACTTTTAGGGTTAGTCTATTTAAAAACAGACAAAAAGAATTTCAAATTTCACCAGATTCGGGACTACAAAAAGAAAAAAATAATTTGTCTCCATGTATTTTGAACTATGTTAAAAATAATTTCAGTTTTGTAACTGAAAGCTCTTAGATATTATCTCACACTGCTGAGCAGTACCTTTGCACGCTGCAGGCAACAGAGGTGAGCGTTTCATCAGATCTTGTCAGGTATTTACCTATGCCATTACACTACAATGTTATAATGAATTAAGTAAGATTCAAAAATAACATTTTTTCCATGACAATAGGAACGCTCACAATAGTCAAGTTATGCATGAGTACGCAGGCCTACAGAAGCAAGGTCTTCACAGTCTTTTAAAAACAGACGTATGAATCTCAGAATAACGAAAAATTCTCAAAGCTGAAAAGATAAAGGAATTAGTGTCTTCAATTTTCTGGTTTTACAGAAAAAAAAGGGTACAAGCTTTGAGAAATATTAAGCACAGGGATTATCACTTAGTACTTCTCGAAATTAAAATGCTTCCTTAGAGTAGCAGGTCAAAATAGTGCCTCAGAAAGCTACTTTGTTTTTATGGGATGTAAGAACACAGCTTCTAAGGCAACTGTAGAACTTTCTTTTTTCCCTCAACAGGACAGGAAAAAAGCTGTTCCAGAGCTGTAACACAGGGAGGGTGATGACAACAATAATCACTTCTTCGTATCTTCACAAGTGCCTACCCTATCACAGGTACTACTCAGGGCCAATTTAGTTGTGAAAGAAGTGCCAGATTATTAATTCGTATGGCCAGACACATATCAGATCATTTCTGTCAAAAATTAGCCCAAGTGCTACTGCAGTTCAAAAATGAAAAAAAAATATGTTGGCAAATTCATCCTCTGTGGGAATTTCTGCAACAGCTGGTCTTTGAGAAAAGCTCAATTAAAGTAAGGCTGATGGCTGCAGCTTGACAAATCAGTTCAGTGGTGGCAAATACAGAAAAAAGCACAGAAGCAAGAGAGCTGCAGAAAATTTGATGTTAGCATAATCACTCAAGGATCAGTCAAACAGAGAACAGGTGTTGTAAAGCTATGCATTCTTCTTAACAGTCCTCAAGAAATGAGATATTCACTATTGTTTTGACAAGGTTCCAAAATCACAAATACATTTTAATTCTTTCATGTGCCAAAATATAGTTACAAAAATTCCTATTTTCAGTAAAACGGGAGAAAAGATTCAAATAAAAATATCAGTGAAAAATTATCTTTAACATAGTTTATCAATAATCCACAATAACATTTTTAAAACCACCTCTCCACCAGATACCAAAACAACTGTTTACTTGCTGCCAGGTAAACTGTAAAAAGAGCTCCTAAGAGAATGACAGATTCAGGAAGACTGCAGTTAAATAGCCCTAATAAAACTCTGAAAATAAAAGTGATTGACAAAATTATTCTGCGGATACTAATATGGGTCCTTATAACATCAAATTTCTCTTGTGGAAAACAGGATTATTTTCCTTAAGGAAGGAAGCGGGACACAGCTCCTGATAACCAGCAAAAACTCTGCCAGGTTGGTTATTAAAGTACAGCCTCTCGTTTATATAAAAATGCCGTGCAAAGTCAAAGCTGTGCCTACCTCATCAAAAGTCTCTGTCATTTTTCGCATGACATCCTTCTTGTGTAAACTTTGAAACATCTCTGCTGTTACCATGCCTAGAAAATTAATATTGTAAATAGAAGAATTACTGGCAGTCATATTACATTAATCAAGTCCAAAACATAGTAAGGACTTTATTTTAAATTCAAAAATATCAAGAAAGAGGGGCTCACACTGTTTTATCTGTGTTTGCAGTGGTACAAGTTGACATAAACAGATTTATAGTAGAAAATACTGATGATCCAAAACCGAAATTCTCATTAGAGAAACATGCCACATGTCATCTAGCACTGCTATTTTCTTTGACCATTCATTTACTTCAAGGATTTGCTAAAATTTAACCCACTAAGTCCGAGATCCCAAAATGTTTTCCATATGAGAAAGCATGTTAGTCAAAGTCCTGGATAAAATTTTGGCATGTAAAAGGTACATTCTAGCTGCTTACATACACGCAGAAGTCACAAGGAAACAGAATAGTCTTCTTAAATATTAATTTTCCATCCTGAAGCTCTTAGCTAGCACACCATTTCCAGAAGTCACCGTGTCTCAGTGTTTATTATGAAATAATTAGACAGCTTCACAACCCTCTGGTTGCTCTTCAAGATACCAAAGCATGGGGCTTAATTTGTTAGTTGTTTATTTTCAAAAAAGGATACTGGAAAAACAAACGATACTAGAAAATTACAAAACAAACAGCAACTGAAATACAGGATTTCAATTAGAACAGTCAACAAAGCTATCTTCCTATGCGGAGATTCCGCAAAGGGATGTGACATTCCACTTGAGAAACCTAACTTTGCAAAACACTTTCAAAGACAGCTCTCAGAGTGGTATGCTGCGTACACAGAATTGAAGAATCTGACCGATAACATTCTTTGCTATTAGTCCTGACCCATTTGCGGTTTGTCTTAAACAAACAGTACAGACTTTAAGTACACATTTTACTGGAGAAAAAAAAAATCAGTTTTAGAAAGCATACTTAGATGACTCTCACCCACCCCAGAGGCAAAGGAAAGGGCTATTAAGTGGGTGAATTACCTTGACAGCCTGAGCACTGAATGAAGAAGTTGATCAGATCTAGAAGAGCCACATTCCGGTCTTTTTTATAAGCTTCAACCCAGTCATCTACTACAGACTAGAACACATTAAAGAAATTCATTAGTCAGAAGCTGACCACAGCATGCCACGCTCCACTGAGGACATCCATAACGCAGATATACTCTAACTAACGCTATCCATAACTAACAGTGAAGACTATTCTGTCCTCATTCAATTATAAAAATGAGAGTAAGTTCCACATCGTTTTGTTCCACCTCTAATAGTACACGTAAAAGACTCCTTCTGGGGCAAAAAGAAGTCTTGAACTGCTCATTCACAAGTTCTGCTCTAAGCAATGTTGCCTTTCACAAATGCTTTGCTCTCTATGAACAGAGGAAAAAAACACAGCTTTAGTAAGTTTAAAATACAAAACATAAAATGTCCTATTCCTGACTTCTTGCCAGCACTGAAGTAGCAGATTCACTGGGGGTTTTTTTGTCAGCATCTAAACTCTGCACGATCTTATAATTAATATTAGCAATGGCCTCTGCAAGTTCTTTTATTCTTCCCTAATACCTCATTTGTGTAGAAGGCTGAAATAGTTCACATACAAGTGAAGTCTTACAAGTCTTAAGTCAACAAACAACTCCAAATTTTATTTCTGGGACAGTCCAGCCTACAACCACACAGGGTCACACAGGGCCTGCTGGGACAAGTCATCCAGACTTCAGCCTACTTTTGCTGTCACACAGGTCTGAGGAATTCCAGCAGAAGCAGACTTGTTTCAGCTACTGCCTTTCCCAGCCCTTCACGCCATGCCTCACACAGCAGAGCCTGGGCCCTTTCGAGAGCTCTGCTCAAGTTAACACAGCTGTAGCATGGCTGAAGTCCACCCACACAAAGACCTTGAAAGACTTGGGCCTTAGCATCCAAAACATAAATAAGCTTTCCACGCGCACAGACACACTTCACCTAGAGACACTGTGCACCAGAGGCATATACACAATACTGTATAAATAAATATTTGGGGCTTCAGTTTCTAATCTTTCATACAAACATAACATACACATATGCATGTACACACAGAGTATGGGGAGGTAGGCTTCATCATGCTGAAGAAAATTACTAACGAGACAGAGGCACAGGGAACCCGACTATTATGCAAAGGGTTTTCAAATTGAGTTGGAGCAGGGATAAAGGAAAAAACAAAGGATATGGTTTTTTGGTTTTGTGGAAAACCAAAGCCAAAAGGATGTGTAAAGGCAAGGGCTTAAATAAATGGCCTTATTTTCAGAATCCTGAACAACTATATTCATCAGTAGAAAACTGATAAAGTCTTCTTTATTTTTTAAAATAACTCTCTTTTTGTATGTTCAGATATTGCTTTAGAAAAACTAGTTTAGGTACATGCTTCCTTCTTCTTTTCAAATACCGGACAGCTACTTTTTCACTGATTTCTTAAAGATATATTCTTTTCAAGAATCATGGTCATAACATTTTCCCAACCAAACATGTTTTTCCCTCTATTTATGTCAAAAAAAGCAAAAAAAAAAAACCAGCAAAATTTTAGTGCTCCAGAGAATAAATAATTTAAACGACCACTGTTTATATATCTTCCCTCCCACAAACTCCTCTCAGAATTTAGAGCTGGAAATACCTGCATGGCCCGTTTCTCCATGCTAACCACTTCGAACAATGTAACTGCCTCAACCGCTTCTCCATTCTGCAGCTGGCTCACTCTTCTGCTATTGGAGGAATTTCTCCTTATGTTTTCACGCTGTTCTCGAACCTTCCGTTTCTCTCTCTGAAATAAGACAGGTGAGGAAAGCATGTGAGAACATGAGACACATAACACCCATTCACTGGTATATGAGTTATCCCTTTATAACACGTTTATGTCACTCCCATTTTAGTGATTGCCCTAGACTGCTAACTATTCAGCCTTACTGACACTAACAAAGCTGTAACAAACATGACTGCACCAGAGAGTGATGAAGGAAAGAATTTACCAGTTTGAAATTTTCTCTACAAGGATGTGTAAACATAGGAAGTTATAACTGGAAAGAAGCTGCTGAGCAGTTGTATACTACCTGGAAGGCATTTTTCAGTGGGAGCTGTAATTTCTGAAGAGTGGACAGTAGGCACAGCTCTTCCACATCTGTTCTCTCACAGGATAAGCACACAGCCTGTAAATTAACATCAGCTGCACACCACGGGCAACTAAGGAAGAACATATGCTGAAATGAACTGACTGTTCACACCCCAGTACTGAGGTTCTGAGACCAACGGAATTTGGCGGTCAAGCTGCAGCCAACGATTAGGTTTTAGACGAACTGTGTTGTCACTGTTTTATGTAAGACTCAATTTAGTAACAACTGAATGAGACAGAAAATATGAAAAGAGTTAACTTACTGGTGTTTTCAGGTTGCCATTTCTCAAACAGCTGCCGTTCTGCACAACAGACTCAGGCACAGTCTCATCATGGACAGCATTCTCTCTGCAGCATAACAAAAAGATATTGAAAGGAATAGCTGTAACAACACAGAACTAAATACTTGGGCACAAACTCCAGAAAATAAAAGCGTACATGTGAATTTTAATATTTTTATTTACATATAAAGGTTTGGAAGGGGGTTCATCTGTTGCTAAGAAAGTAAATAACTAACTCCAAAAATACAATCAAAATCTAGAGCCTTTCCCAAACTATTTTCTTTCCGGTAAGATTTCACAGATAATTAGAAAACTAGTGAAACTCTATCAAAGCTATCAATCAAGTAGAAGGTAAGTAAATGAAATAGAAATCTGATGTTGATTTAACGTAGCCTATAACAGCTTTGCACCATCAATAGATAAAACAGCTCTATATCAACTTTGTGGGTCTTCTACACAAAATGCGAGACAACATTTGATGGGCCTACAACTCAGAAGGGGAAGAAGAAACTGCTTTACCTTCTCTATATATCATGCTGGAGAAAAAAAGATATATAAGACATTTAACTCACAGGTCACCTCTAATATAATGGAGGAATTGTTTTACAAAGCAAGATGCACCATTTGGGAGAGCTGAAACCGCACATTTATCTGCAGTGAAATCATGTCATTTTTCAGTATTTCCCAGCGCTAATATGCCTTGCCAAAAGTCATGTTTGAGTAGACGAGTTGGATCCCACTTGTGCAGCAGATCCAGTACTGGCCGCTGGCTGTTATGGCCTCATTTTAAACTACAGTGGCCAGGGTGTGAAGCCAGTTGGCTCGTACTGTAAGAAGGCACAAAAACAAAGTAAACGTAAGAGTGTACAGTTACTTAAATGCTCATGCTAGTGCTAGGACAAAAGGGTGTATTAAGTCAAGGGATCGCTTTATGAAGAACAAAACAATGTATCACACTGTCAGACATAGTCAACTCTCCAAAATCCCATGTTGGCTAAAAAGATGGAGAATTAACTGTGCTCCATTACGGACACAGAGTGAGCATGAGTCCAGCTAGGTTCATCAATGCCACATGAACACTATTATTCTTCCTCCCAAGCAGCTTCAGCCAGACACTGCCTCTGCAAAGTGAATCCTGAGCCTGCGTAGCACAAAGTGCAGGACCAAGGTCCTGATGTTATTTCATTAGTGAGAGCAGATAGATGTTTATACATAAAAACATTTCAGTTTACTTTTTGAATCTATTAGGACACTTCACTACAAGCGAGCGGTATGGAATTAGGTTTCCAAAGAATCATATGCTGCTGTATAGATTCTACAAAAATATGTTAAATTTCTAAATAAAATACAAATGTTTAACTTCCTTACAGAGAAAAGTCCCATTAAAGTTCAATTTAAACAAACTTCTTGCCAAAGAAGAGCTCAAAGTGTACCACGGTGTTTGATGGATAGAAGCTAAGGAAACAAATCAGGATGAACCAATCCTAACATCTGTTGTATGGACTTCTACATGTGATGGAAAAGAGGGGATGAACTGTAGCTCACAACCAGGTCAGAACGATATAAGCAACTCTGCTTAAATTTCAAAATATGTTCTCTGATTTGTAATTGTGAGCCACAGAGATTTAGTTAGGCAAGCACCACCAAAAGCTTTCTAGCCCAAAATAACAGGTAATAAAAAAGACAGCAAAACATACTGCTTTTCTGATGCAATCTCTTCCCAGACTCTTCTACAGACCACAAACAAGGAGAATTCAAAAGTGTTTGCCAAGTAGCTTCTTCTCCTATGCAAATAAGTCTAGACCTCAAAGGAGAACGCAACATTATGAGCCTAACATGTTCTGCTTTACTAAAACTGCCACTCAGATGCCAGCCACCATTTCAGTGCTTCCTGTTTTTGCATTATATCTTAACGCTCAATACACCCTCACACAATCTTCCTGATTTGTTTCTATGTACTATGCAGCAACTTGCTACATCCCACAATCAAAACACACGTGCATTTCATTACAGCAACCATAATTGGGTCCAAGTTAAATCAAAGTATTTAAATGATGCAAAAATCAAAACTGCTGTAAGACATTTCAGTCAAGTATTTGTCTGAACATGCAGTGTTTTTAGAACTATCTCTAGAATACACCGTGTTGAACCTTTACCTCATCCAGCTCTTTCCGAAGAAAATCCTGGAGGTGTCAAAGTTGATGTGCAAGCAAGATGCATGTGGGAAAAATCACTTTGAATTAATGGCACTACGGATGTCACGTGCTGACCCCATGCTATTTATTTTGTCAACTCATGCCAGGTAAAAACTGCCAAAAGTGGCTCAACAGAGTAAGCGAACGTGTGGTGTACGGAATAGCATGTGTACCTAGCCTGTGGGAACCTGCAATAATGAGGTGACCCACAACTTCAGCACGTTGGGCTAACGATGACAAGTAAAATGATATGTCCTATGCAATGATGCTGGCTGGACTAACTTTCACACATGTACTAAGCGTCTCTGTTAAACACACAACAAAAGTAACTAGGCACTAAGCAAATACTAAAAAGCCATTTAGTCATTTTGGTTATCAAAGCACCACTGAGTGAAGCAATTGCCACAGAAGGCAATATGCTCAAACAGTCACTCTACACCAAACACCACACCAAAGACAACACAGTTAAGCAGGTTTAAACTCTACCTGTTTAAAAATTATTTTAAAAGATCCCTCACCATGAGCCTGTAACAAATAAAATTGCACAGAAAAAAAAAAAAATCTATCAAGAGCCATCACAGCTTGACACCACCTTGAAAAAAAGCAATTTCACTTTATTATGAACTCCATAGTTGTTCTGAACTGGTAAGGTTTTCTATATTTTAGGTATTCTTTAGTTTCCTAATTTTTAGGCTTATTTTGCAATCGTTAGAAAGCCATTAAAACTTGTTTGCTCTTAATTAGTTTATTTATACAGAAGATTGTAAAAATCACTGAATCTGGAAACGTTTAGTTTTGGTAGAGTTTTTTAAACCCAGATACTACCAATACTCAAGCTTCTTTTTTCTTCTTCCCCCCCTCCCTTTTTTTAATATCAGTCTTTCCAGTAAGGCTATCCATAAGGCAAATGCTTAGCCATTTGCAGGAACTAGATCACAGCCTAGAAACGGGACCCCATGGAGCCACTTAAAATTCAATGAGATATTTTCATGGGATTTTATCTGCACAGCTGAGATTCTGTTGAAATAACCGTGAAAAGAATTAAGACATCCTTTTATCTGTTATCTCCTTGAGCAAAATAGGAACTACTGCATCTAGACCCAAGGATGACATATGGTTACTACTGCAGTGATCCTTATGCATAACTCCATTTAACATCCCTTCAGGGATGTCAGTGCAACAGTAGGTGTGGCACATTTTGAAGTGTTCATCTGCCTTTTTTCTCCTGTTAGCCTATACCATATATGAGCATGTTGGCATATCTAAATTCACTCACTGCCTAGTGCACTGCTAAGAAGCAATTTTCAGTCATTTACTTTCTTTCCATCAGGAAGCAATAAGGATGCATACAGAATTATTTTTCTATCTCATAACAGTTTTGACCTTTAGACCATGCTACATATGGCTCACAGGCTTTTTACCTTGCATTTCAGCCACAAAACAGTCCTTTCACTAGCACTTGAAACATACTTATAAAACACTTGAAGCAGGAAGAAAGCAAAGCCCTTCTACTAGTCTTGAAACAATACCCTTTTCAGCATTTCTGAGTTCATTTTTCTCATCTCTGTGAGAAAGATGAGAGCAGATTTAGCAACTCATACCTGAAAAGAAAGCTACTTCTTTAACATAATTAGAGATAATATATTCCTTTACTTGTGTAAAAGGGACAATTAATCTATGTTATGGAAAGCTCCTACTTATAGATTCTTAGACATTCCAATACAACTGCTTCACCTTTTAGAAGCAACATACAAAGCTCAACGAAGCAGTTCCCAGGCACCTTCCTGGCACTTCTGAAACTAAAAAGGTTGGCTTCCAATGAAAGGTTGTCTTCCAATGACAAGATCAGCAAGGACTAGGATGCAAGGAGTCCAAGGCATGCAACAGTGGACACCCAAGAAGCTTCCCCTTTTACATCTAGGCAAATTGTGCCTAAATTTATTAACATTACCATTTAACTTATTTACACCTGCTATTTCTACTTCCAAGAACAGTCTGTAAACAATGATATAAATCTATCTGGTTTATAAATCATCTCAACTGATGACTGAAAACATACACTATATCCCTGATCATACCAGTTTAAAAAGGAGGAAAGATATAGAGCAGCACATTCTCTCCCCTGTGATGTTGCAAGGAGTATGCCTCGTCCCTGTCAGTGCCAACAGGGAGATTGCAGATTACTTGGCACTTTTCTCTCCTAGTACTCTAAATTTGCCACTGCAAGATCAGGGTCCTGGTGCATCAGCATAAAACACTACATTAAGAAGATGCTAAACTATTCTCAAGGGGCAAAAAAATATAGATATTAGTATCAATATGTAATACATGGCAAATTCCTTTCTTCCTCCCGCCCACCTGAAATGACACACTGTAGACCCTCTCAGTATCTACAGCACACAAATTGTAAAGGGATAGTGCCCCAATTTACCAACACATTTTACAGGCAACTGTACCAGGTCTTACTTTTGATTAGGAAGGCTGCTGGCTGGGTTGGGCTCGGCTATCATTTCCACTACATTATTTCAGCAGCGCAGACAGCACGCTAACACTTCCTTTTGAGCAAGCTTCACCAAAAACATAATTAAGAGTAAGGAAGACACAGCTTCACTGCCTTAGCTCTTCTGGACGAAACAGCAGCAAAAGACTGTCAAGAAAAGAAGATGAGAAGAGTTAATTCTAGGCATCTCGCCTTAAAAAAAAAATAAAGCCAGGCCTTTAAGGGAAAAAAAAAAAAAGAAAAAGAAAGAAAAGCTTCAAAAGAAAAACGAATTCAGAGGTGGAAACTTGGCGGTAGGACGACTAGACCGGGCAGGAGCTCTGAAGAGGCAGCACTTCGCAAAGATGCCGCTG